CAAATTGAAAAAATCGCACGCGATAAAAATTTTAAAAATTAGAAAAAAATGTCACAAAATTAGATTAGATTAGATTAGATTTTATACTTTTATGCTAGGAGGGCATTCTGAATTGACAAAATTTGTCAAAATCGGTCCAGCCATTCTTGAGATATAAGCATTCTAACTAACATCCCCTTTGTATACATACATTGTATATATTTCGCTATATATCCGATATGTTTTCTATCGGCATCTACATAACGGTCAGGATTGACATTTTCGTCTATTTGTGATTTCGTCGGGATTAATAATATTCAGGATTCGTTTAATGGAAATTTTGACTTTTATTTAACACAAATGTTATGACCTATTTCACCAACTAAATATTACCCGATGGCCAAAATTGGAAGGCTTCTGCCCAGCCTTAAGCTCTAGCCCCATGCTAACTTCCGCTTCGATTAGTCTATACTTGCGACCTGTAGAACAATTGCAAAATCAGGGATTTTTTCAGTTTTTGGTCAATTTCTACCCCTAAAATTATGCGATCATCTGATAGGGTTTTATTCTGGCTCTAGCCCCACTTCTATTCTCAATTTCGTGATGATCGGGCTATAATTGCGACCTGTAGAGTGATTACAAATTAACATGGACAGACGGACGGACGGACGGACATACATAGCTAGATCGACTCATCTCGGCGAGATAGGAAGATCCATATATACATTTCTATGTGGGAAGCACATATGTTACATAATTGTTGGCCCAATCAAACTTATAATGGCCCCAACACATAGTGTTGTAGGGTATAAAAATATTTATTATAGCAATAGATATACCGGACCGAGTTTTACCAAATGGAAAAATTCGGTTGAATACGAAAAAATCTATCCGAATTGGGCTGATATACATATATGGTGAAAAATAACCGAAAAATCGCATGCGAGGGACTTCAACACCAAATTGAATGAAACATACATATGGGAGCTATAGCTATATCTGGACCGATTTTCACAAAAAATTAAAGTAATTGCTTCTAGGCTGAATTCCGTTGGAAGTGCCAACATTCAGTCTATTTGGGCTGATATTAGCCATTTAGTGCACCTGACATCTGAGAAAGATATATATGAGAGCTTTATCCAAATCTGATCTGATCTCGATTAAATTGGACAGAGTTATATTTAAGCTTCATGAGTTATCTGGTACCAAATATGATTCTTGTGAAGTGCATATTACTAATGTGAGGAACGTAATCACCAAATCGGAAGAAACAAATATATATGGGAGCTATAGCTATATCGGAACCGACTTTCAACAAATTTGATGTACTTGCTTCAGGTCATTTGGCCATTTGGTGCGCAATAAACGCGAAATCGGTTGAAGATATATATGGGAGCTATATTTAGATTTGAAACTATTCTCGCCAATTTCAATAGGACCAAACAAATACAGGGACAGACGGATGGACTGACATGCATAAATCCACTCAGAAGATCCTCAAAGGTAACTATGGGTCTATCTCACTTCCTTCTCCATGTTACAAACAAATGCACAAGTACATAATTACCTTACCTCTATGTGGTGTAGAATTATAATTTTTACATACATATGACAATATGTAACACATAAAAACTACTAAATTGTACTATATTTGGTACAATTTGGTATTAGGTGAACAGATAATGCTTATATACTAAATTTTCGTATCAGGGTCGCTGCTTATGTTTAGTCTGGACATATGGAGGCAGTTTCGGAAATTTGGCATTGGTTGAAGGGACAGAAATAAAATTCTGAATTCTGTGTTTGAGATTTGGTAGTAGTATTAAAATGGTACAAAATTCCGTAATGACTAAATGAATAGAGCTGGAATCCCGAAATTTCGTATCTCGTGGTGGTTTTTCAAATACGTGGTATAATTGTTCGAAAAAATACTAAATGGTTGGAAGGAGTGATGTAGATTGTTTCGGATATGCGTACTAAATATTACTAAATTTGATATTGAGGTTTCCAGGGATACGTTGAAATACTTTTGTACAGAAAAATTGGATGTGGATCCATTTTGCAATATTAAATTAATTATAATAATAATAATTATTAATAATTATTTATTATCTCTGACTTACTTTATTTGCTGGCTCAGAATGTGAAGAATGTAATTCGAAATTTATTGTTCGTTATTCTTTTACACTTTTACCCAACCCATTATTTACACTACAAACAAGCTTAAGTATGTATTAATGCTCTTAGATCATGCTAAAAAACTTTCTGAGAACAAATTGGACCAATAGACATTTTAGGCGGCTTTGTGAAAGCAATTGAAGTTTCACATAGTTTGTTTGCTAAATCCTTTGTTTTTTTGGAAAGTAGATCAAGCATTTTTCGCGTGAGGATCCAATGATCAGTAGACAAATAGAAAAGTGAATTACCATAAATTCTGAAAGCCAGACGTGCGGTCTTTGTTTAATCGGCATAATATAACTGCGATTTTCTAAAAAAAAAACTTCATGAGTCCAACATTGCGAATATTTAGAAAAATATAATTATGGAAGAGACTTGCTCGAAACGCTGATGCCAAATAGAAGAAGTCCACATACTTTTTAGAATAAATTTGAAACTAGATAAAAAATACGTATTATTTATTTTAATATTTATGACTGGAATAGTAAAGGAATAATAATAATATATCTGGAATAATTTATTTGTACGCGTATTGGACAAATTGTTCGTTATTTACTCTTTTAACACAATTGCAAAAAAAATTATCACACGGAACAAATTTCCATAATTATAATTCTTTATTAAAAAAACAAGTAAGCAAAGGCTATAGCTGTACAGGGCCGACCATGTGATACCCTACAACACTACAATATGTTAGAAGCCCCCATTAATTTGGATTTGGACATATCCATTTTGGATCTAGATCACAAATAATCCAGATATTACCCTTAGCATTTTGACCAGGGACATTTGCCCAATATTTACGCACTCCGTCGTGCTGTTAGTTGTTGTGATCCATTTTACAGCTAAATATAATCCAATGGTCATCCATTTGAACCCCTAAATATTTTGCGAATGCAAGAGGCCCCTACCTATCCCCAAATTTAGTCTCGTCTATATGATTTCCTTGTCTACAATATTTGGCTATATTCGTCAACGAAATCAGTATCAAAAAGCCAGAAGTTCGCATTTTGTGTTTTTCGGATATCTCCTGAAAGTAATGTTGGTATTTTTCACACAAAATTAGTGGTCTATTCTACCCGCTGTCCTAAACTCTATCTTCATGCGAGATTTCCTGTCCTTTGGTTTCTATTTGTGACCTTTATAACGGCTGCAAAACCAGGAACATTTTTAGTTGTTGGTCCATTTCAACCACTAAATATATTGCGGACATCTTTGAAAACAATAGGTCTAGCCCTTTTGAGCCAAACCCTACCCTTGTGAAAATTTTCGTGAGCATCGGACGATAATTGCAATCTGCATATAATATTCCCAAGCTGTGTTGTAAGGTAAAAAATCTATATTAACATCGTTGTTGGCATCTTTTTATACATTTTTTTTAGATTTTATTCTTTTATGCCAAGAGGGCTTTCTGAATTGACAAAATTCGTCAAAATCGGTCCAGCATTCTTGCTAACATCCCTTTCCCTTGTATATACAAATTGTATATACTCCGCTATATGTATCCGATATCGGCATCTACGTAGGGGTCAGAATTGACCTTTTCGTCTATTTGTTATTTCGCCGGGATTACAAATATTAATAAGGAAATTGAACTTTTATTTAACCCAAATGTTATGGCCTATTTCACCCACTAAATATTACCCGATGGCCATCCAAATTGTAAGGCTTCTGCCAAGCCCTTAGCTCTAGCCTCATGCTAACTTCCGCGACCTGAAGAGCAATTGAAAAATCAGGAAATTTTTCAGTTTTTAGCTCATTTCAACCGTATTCTATTCTGACCATAACCCTACCTTCATTTTCAATTTCCCCAACACATAGTGTTGTAGGGTATAATAATATTCTGATTTTATATTTTTTACTTCATTTAACTATTTGTGGATATCTTAAAAATTGATATTGGTAAACTGACCAAATAAGACTGGCGCCGACGATATCCAACATTTGAAGTTCAATTTTAAAGCCGTTGATTTAAAAAAAAAACTCTAATGTATGTTATCAAAATTATTTTAGAAGCAATTTTTGTTTGAATATTTTCGTTGAGATTTAAATCAAGACTTATTTTGGACTACAACATTATCATAAAACAAAGTATTCCACATGCAACGCTTTTAATATTTTTTGCACAAATTTGACCCCAGTGCAATATAATTTCCTATTTTTAGAAATAGACTGAGGGTTAAACTCTCTATTTAGGCCCCGTATGTGGATATCTCAAAAAAATTAGCAAATATCGGAAATCTGACCAAGAATTTAGGAAGAGCATGCCAAAAAACCTGTATCTAAAAAATGGCATATAAACGCTTAATCATAACTCCGACAATACGTCAACATAAGTAGTTTTATCTTAAAGCCATTGAGAATATTTTTATAAAAATTCCAATTTAAATTACCAAAATTAGTATTGAAGAGCCTTTCATCCTCATGCAAAGCTGTTAACACTTTATATGGGCAAATTTGACCCCAATACAATATACCTTCCTCTTTTTTTATACACAGACTGAGGGTTAAACAAAGAGGCCACTATGCCGCCAGCCTCCCCCCCCCCCCCCCCTCTTCTATCACTTCAACAATTACTGTTCATCGGATGACAAAGTGTTCTAATGTCGAACTTGAATTTCAATGAATTTGTTGAAGTCGGTAGTGTATTCTGCTCTACATTTCTCTTTCTCTTCGCAGGCCATTCGTTCTCTATTACTTCAAGAGTTTGGAGAGTCTTATTTTTAATTAAAAGTTATAAATGATATTGGGAAACATTTTTATTGGGACAATGATAAGAACAACAAAAACAACAACTAAATAAACCAACAAAAATTGCAATACTTGTCGAAATATTTACTAACCTACCTTTGCGACAACGTGCCAAAGCGAAAATGTCTGTAACACGACGAGAGAGGGAGTAGAGCAACAATTTTGTTTGCTACACCTCTTCTCTTTTCCAAATGCACTTCTCCGTCGAAATCACAGCGTCAGCCTTATGGGTCGTAGTGGGATGATGTTGAAGTCAAAGCACATTTTTCGATTTCCAATCAATGGAGATGGAGAACAATGTTGTGGTTTTTGTTACTTTTTAATAATCTCAGTACATTATTTGCAAAAAAAAAATCACTCACTAACAACAATAATTTCATACACACTCACACTAACCCAAAACCAATAGCACTAGCATTTGTAGTTGTTGGTATTTTTAAAAAAGTTTTACAATAAAAGTCACCGAATGAACAGATGAAACGCATAAAAAAATTTCATTCACCGTTAGTTGTAAAAAATGTTACGCTCCGTGTCGGAATTCTGTAATACTGGTGATGATGACGACTCTTCTTACTTGCCTGCCTTCCGAGCTCTTTTTGACACTTGTTCGTATGGTTTTTTCTTAGAGTTCCTCTTTTTTCTCGGCTTGGTTTGTCGGTAGGTCGTTCGGTCGGTTGTTTGGACAGGCAAAAAAGGGAATTACAAATTATACAAATAGTACAACAAAATTTACAACCACACTGCTGCTGCTGCTAATGTTCATCTGCTTGAGATTTAATTTTCGTTTATGTTCCTTTTTTTTCCTGTTGGGGGATTCTCGTTGGGCCTCAGTTCACTTCTTTTTTACAACAGATTTACAGATTTTTTTATCACAAGAAATAATACATAAAAATACATGGAAGTCTTTTGGGTTTTGTCTTTTAAAAACTGCAAATAAGAAAACACACGTTTTTATTTTTCAATTTCCAATTTGTTGGTCCACGGCACAGTTCAAAGTTAAAAATACTATTATTTTCACTTTTTTGCTAAAAGTCTTTAATGGCCAGAAAATACAATAGAAGACCAGTTTTCTTTAGTTTTTCTTTCCTAATAGCTTCTAACGTCTGTCCATTGGTGTTGGCGATAGAGCGCTTTTGGAAAATAAAACCTCACCTTTCGAATAAAACCAAGAGACTGTGATACTGTGTCGCTGATGTTTGCAGGATTTTGAGGATTTGCGTGATGTTAAGTCAAGTTTGTTCGTTCGCTGGTTGCTTGACTAGTTGGTCTAATGGTAAAGGAGTGTTGTAACATCATACATGTTCGATGGAAACATGTTTGATGCTACTCATGAGTTGCCATTGTGTTAAGTTTTGTATTGAAACTATTGATGTTTTGGGATTTTTGATAAACAAGCAAGCATGGTACAATAATTACAAGGTAGGGCAGAATGATTAAATTTTAAAAACACGAAATATTTTTTCAATTTTACCAGTAACAAATGCAGCAAATATACTATCAAAGCGGAAACATTTGTTCTTCCTAAAAACAGTAATATGAATTTAAATTTCAACAGAATTGGAACATTTTTAATTTTTTTTTATTATTCAAAACAATATTACACATACTGTATACATATAATGACGTTACAAGACTACCAAAAGAAAAAATTGTATTCAGGTGATTCCTATACCCTACCTTGTCTTCATTGTAAAGTCCACCTCAAGATTCACCTTTAAGATTCATTTCAACAGTTCGAGTTTGGCCTTTTTATACCCTCCACCATACTATGGAAATGCTCATGTCAGACCCAACAAAGTATATATATATTCTTGATCAGCGTAAAATTCTAAGTCGATTTAGCCATGTCCGTCTGCCTGTTGTAATCACGCTATCTTCCGAACGAATTGAGATAGAAGACTAAAATTTAGCACACGTGTTTATTTTTCCAGTAGGCAGGTTAAGTTCGTAAATGGGCCATGTAGGTCCACGTTTTCATATAGCCCCCATATAACGGTACCTCCCGATATTCGGCATTTTGATGATTTTAGCGACATTATTCACCAGAATTGTTTCAACTTTGGTATTTGAAGTTCGTAATGAATACTACAGCATAAAGCAGAAATTTGTCGGTGCAGGTCCACGTCTTCGTATAGCCCCCATATAACGGTACCTCCCAAAATTCGGTATTTTGATGATTTAAGCGTCATTATTCACCGGAATTGTTTCAAATTACGTATTTAGAGTTCGTAATGGGAACTACAGTCTGTGACAGAAAATTCCCTATGCAGGCCCAGGTCTTCGTATAGGCCCCATACATCAGTACCTCCCTATATTCGGTATTTTGACGAGTTTAGGTACAATACCCACCGAAATTGTTTGAGATATCGTATTTGACGTTAGTAATGGATGCTATAGCCTGTGACAGAAAATTGTCTATACTGGCCCAGGTCTTCGCACAGATCCGATATAACGGTAACTCCCTATATACGATATTTTGATGATTTTAGCTACATTATTCACCGTTTATTTCAAGTTTCGAATTTGAATATGGCAATGGCTAATGGCAAACAATGCCTATGTAGGTCCACGTCGTATAGACCCCAATATAACGGCTATATTCGGTACTTTTAAAATTTTAACAGAATTTTTTAAGGATTTTATTTTTTGAAAATTTCCAAATTCGTTACAAATGTTGGAGGGTATTCAAAGTTAGGCCGGCCGAACTTACTGCTTTTTAACTTGTTAGTACTAAAAATGCAAATTTTTTTTCAGTTGAACAATATTTTTATATCAAAACTTAATATAGTACTAAATTTTCAGACTATTAAGGTTTTATATATTATTCAAGTTTTTTCTTCTTTGAAAAGAATAATTAGGACATGGCACAATTACAGAAGGTAGAACAAAACATATACTCAGTTTGTATGTGTGTGTGTATTGTTTTGAATAAAGAAGAAAATAATTTGAAATTATTTCAAATTATAGACAACCGAAATGCATATTTTTTCACGTTAAAGGACAATAAAATGTATAATTTTGGGATGAAACAATAATGTTACAGTAAAGGACTGAATTTTGCTAGTTTTCTTGAAGTTGATCAACCTTTCTTATTGAGCCATGATTAAGGAAATGTTTACACCAAATTTCACCAAAAAGTCTTCAAAATCTTTTATTTTCAAAATAAACGACGTGGATATTATTAAAGCCATTACACGATGGACCCATATCCAATTCTTCTTTCCAAAACCATTTCAACGTCTCTCTGTGATACCAAAATCAAATTGAAGAATGTTTGCTCTATCCCTTCATTCAATGCCAAATATGGCAATATTTATTACGCATACCCAAAACAGTGTACATCTCTCCATCCTAGACACCAAAAGTGATCCAAAATAAGTACCAATTAGCAATTTTCGAACAATTACTACCACAACATCTGATGTGAAGATGGGATATATTGGTCAATACCTTTCCTATGGGTCGATGTATACAGGGTTGTCCGTCTTTTCATGTATTTTTGTTAACAAAGTACAGGTCGCAATTATTGTCCAATTATAATTCAATTTTCTACAAAACATTTGTTGGTACAAGGACAAACCCTAGTGAAATTTTGTTTAAATATATGTGTAATTTCCATATATTTTTTTTGTCCAATTTCACTTATATTTTGCACCAAATGTGTACTATTACCCCAACCATTTTGATATTTTATGAAACATGAAATATATGTCAATATTACCTAATGTGGTGTCACTGTTCCTTTACCACGAAAAAAAGTTTCGGCGCCATTGAGGTTGGCGTTTTGTAAATTATATCAGTGGTTTTCTATTATTAGGCAAAATATATGTTCACATTGTCCTGACTGAAATTTTATATCAAAAATTACTATTATATACCAAGAAAAGAAAATGAATCAGAAAACTTCATATCGAATTTGACAATAGTATTATAGAGTCAAATCAGCTGGGATGTGCTGCTCCCTATGATAATTATACCATGATCCAGCTCAAGTGAAAAAAAAGAATTAAAAAGAAGAAGAAGAAGAACCACCAATTTTACAAGTTTTATAAATAAAAAGGAAATTAGCAATAAAATAATAATATGAGCAATAAAAGAAATATAGATTTGATGTGTTCCCCAGAATCCTCTAAACGTTTTGCTAATGGCGTTTATTTAAAAAATGTTCGAAATAGTCTTTTATTGTCTTATTACATATTAATATTTACGTTTTTTTACATTTTGTAAAATTGTTCTCCAAAAAAAAAAAAGAAAAAAAAAACATTTAGATCCGTTCGTAGATCTTTCCTTTGTAGTCCACTTTAGGAAAAGTGAAGTATAAAGTTCACATTATTGTAACTGGTATTCACCAGTCACAATGGCATCTTCATTTTAGTTTAAAAATAATAAACAAAATGCTAATTTGTAATTAATTTCGTGAAATAAATTTATAATTCAGTTCTTCAATATAAAATAAACTATTTGCGTTATGCATTTTTTTTATTTAAATAATTTTTGCTGTTATTGCTATATTATCAATATAAAATATGACAACATGAATTCAGTAAACTTTACGTTAAAAGATAAAGGGAAGATGGTCTGACTTTTTGCTTATCGAACAGTTCATACTTAAATGAAACTTGCAATAACGAAAAACGATTTATGTGTCCGACAACATCATTTTTAACAGGCCTTAGTCTTGCTAATTCCAAAATCAAATTTTTCAATTTGAAAGCATAAAAAGAACTAAACAAACAATAGAAAAACATCTGACTCTATGTCGATGAATGAGAAGAAGAAGAGTTGCAAGTGATTGCAAGTACAAATTTGTCCGACAAGAATTTGCAAACTGTCACTGAAAGGACTGTCAAAATTTCTCTCTTTCCAGTAACAATATGCAGGAAAAGTAACCTGACATACCTTTAGTCTTCCTAGTTAGTTATTTCGTTTGTTTTTTTTTACTGTTTGCGAACGGCAACGTTATATTTTTTGAAAAAAAAAAACGAGCGTTTCCCATCAAATTCACATTTGACAAACAGATGTCGCTTTTCGGGAAAAAGCTGGTTCCTCTGCTCATTTAATGAATCCTTCCAGCTGATTGCGCATTTTTCCTAATTTCTCATTCGTAAACAAAAGACGTACTCGGGGATTTTGCTTTCTCTTTATGTTTCACCGTTCATTCTTTCTTTTTGCCTTTCTTATATTGGGGACGCTTTTCATTTTGGTTTCCCGCGCGCTCACTTCAAGAGACCAAGTCAATTGAATTGGACACATTGGTTGGACAGGATTATCAGGACCAAAGCCCTATTAATTGAGTAAATCAATAACTTGCGCGCCGATTACACCATGACTGGTGATAGTGAAATGCGTAACAATACCAGCAGCGCCAGTGATGCCACCAATGGCGGCAGCGGCGGTGGTACCATTGATGTCGAACACTATAGGAAATTGGTAAAGCAATTCTGTGATATGAGGCGCTATCAAACTGCATTGTTTTGGGCCGAAAAAGTGTGCTGTCTAAGTCAAAATGATCCCAAAGATGTCTACTGCCAGGCGCAGTGTATGTTCCTACTAAAGGAATACCATCGTGCTGCACACACAATACGCTACCATAAATTGGAAAAAACTCATATACCGTGCTATAATCTATTGTTGGAATGTCTGTACGAGGCGAAAGAATACAACGAAGCTATTGTGGTCATTAATACGGTGGATATTGAATATTTGGCATCGTCATTAATCAATCAACCATTGGATGGTGGTGGTATGGATGGACCAAGTTTGTTGTTCGGTGAAGAGGGATGTAAAAATGTAAGTTCATTGCAAGTTTGCTGAATATCAAATTATTAATTCTCCATTGTATTTTAGGAAATTTTGGCCTCAATTAGTTTCCTAAAAGGTAAAATTTACGAGGCAATGGATAATCGTGGTTTGGCCATGGATTATTATGTACAAGCGTTGCACAAATCCGTGTACTGTTATGAAGCTTTGGAGGCTCTGGTGCAGCATGAAATGTTAATGGCCTGGGAAGGTGAGCTAGAATTATTCAAATGGAAATCGTTTTCCATAACCATAATATTTAAACAGAGTGAAACGGTATCAATGTAAGAAAAACAAGGTGCGCGAGTTTCTTAAATTTTTGAGTTGGTATAGCCCCACATCTTGTCAAACTTTAATAATTTATTTAGCAAAAATGTTACAATTGTTGTAGAAGCTGCGAGCTCTAATCGGTACTTTTTGAAGTGAGAGAATACAAATATAAGTGTGCTATTTTGAAATTACATTGTGGAGTAAGTAGAGAATGGATCACTTATTATGGATCTTTTTATTATTGGATGGTTTCCAAAATAGAGCAATATTACGGCAAGGAAGGAAGGAATCGTCTAATTGGCTCAAGAATGCAAATTTGGACGTTTGCCAAACAGTTCGCGTTTCTTATAAAAATTTCCAAAACTGTTAATAGTAGTAGATTGATCCACATTGCCTTGGTGAACTATTTGCAACTTTGGGAACTGTGAGGATTTTTTCAGGAATTATGAGGGAACAAATTTGTTTCTTGGAATCAGGCCTTTAGGCATTTCTTATTGCAACCATCTGCAACAGTTCCCCAAATGTGATTTCTTGTGCTTCTCATTGCTGCCCATTTTGGCTCATTGCTGAAACTTTGTCGGTAATCATTAAGTACATCGAAATAATTATATAGCCTTGTAATTTAAAACAGTTCCGTAAGACTAAAGCCACTAAATTTATAAAATCCTACGCGTTTCCCGTGACACCAAAAGATGCCGACTCACATTGCTTTGCAATTTAGCTGACAATTGTAAAAAGCTTGTCAGTACAGAAGATTCTTCAGCAATTGAGTTTAATAATATTTGGAATTCTTAACATACCAGTCCATTCCTCCATTCTACAATAAAGAATTTTTAAAGAAGAAGTCTTTAGGTAGTACGTTCGAACAACGAATCGTTTAAAAGAAATTTAGGGGACTTTGCAATGCTCCCGTTAAATACGCCTTTCGTTTCCGTTTTCAGAGAAAGAACTAATGCAACACTTGCCATTGGAACATCAATCCTCTGAGTCGGATGCCAAGTTTATAAAGAAATTATATGAAACAAAACTGAAAAAGTATTATGAATCTATTGGACCGGTAAGTAAACTCAAACAAAATAACACACACTATGAAATGCCACACATCTCAACACCTTTATTTCAGAATACAAATGCTGAAGAGACTCCCATTGGTAATATGAGCACATTGAAATCGATAAAAGAGTTGAATGATAAAATACAAATGACTCGTAACTCGGATGCTAGTATTCATAAAAATGTACTGCCTAAATTTATGACACCAACACAAAATCAAATTTTGTCACCAGCCAATAAGTGAGTATATAACAAATTTATTTAAAAAGGCAATGAAGAACGCATTTTAATTTCGTAATTTCAGAGTTCTTGAAGATTTGAAGATACCACCATTCTCATTGCAAGTCAGTTTAACCCGTGCCTCTTCCCTGATAAACGATTCACAGCGTTCCCATATGGAGACACCAAATCGTAATCGTTCTAAGGATAGTGCGGATAGTCCCACATCAATCTTGCTCTCAACTAGCATGCAACGCATACAAAAAAGTACAGACGTTATGGCCGCTGAGGCAGAGAAACACTTCTACGACTGTGACTACAAGAAAAGTTTTAAACTTTTAAATGAGTAAGCAAAACGTTGGGTGTTTATTAAAATGTAAAAATTTCATGTATTCTTTTATTTCTTTCCAAAGATTGCTTAAAATTGATCCCTATCACGATGGTGCTCGTACGGTACAAATTGGCTGTTTGGCTGAATTTGGGGATTACAATAGTAAGTAAATTAGTTGGTTTGAAATATGTATCTTATTTAAATATCTCCATTTTAGAACTCTTCTATGTTGCTCACAAATTGGTGGATCGTTATCCAGATAAAGCCATATCATGGTATGCTGTTGGTTGCTATTATGATATGATTGGTAAAAGTGATCCTGCCAGACGTTACCTATCCAAAGCTACCTCATTAGACAGATTGTATGGTCCTGCTTGGTTAGCTTATGGGCATTCCTTTGCCAAAGAAAATGAGCATGACCAGGTGGGTCTAGTTTCTTTTAATTATTTTAAAATATAACCTTTTTTATATAACAAATAATTTAACGGAATCCTTTTGATACTCTATTGAATAAAATGTCAAAGATTGTTGATAGAAAATTTCTCTACGACGAGTTAATACCTAAGTCTGATTTTTAATACATTTTGTTGCAGGCCATGGCAGCATATTTTAAAGCTACTCAGCTTATGCGTGGTTGCCACTTACCATTACTATATATTGGTGTAGAATGTGGCTTGGTTAAAAATCTAGAGCTCGCGGAGAAATTCTTCTATCAAGCGATGTCGATTGCACCTCTGGACGTATTTGTGTTACATGAATTGGGCGTTATCAAATACGAATACGAATTGTAAGTATAAAGCGGAATATGTCAGTACTGAAAACAATTTTTTTAACTTGTTATTTTTTTAGTTACGAAAGTGCTGAAGAAGTGTTCCGGACAACAGCCGATATTGTTACGAATAGAGCCAAACAGAATAAGGAAGAAGTTTCGGCCAGATGGGAGCCGCTGTTTAATAATCTGGGACATTGTTGTCGCAAGAATAAGAAATACAAGGAGGCATTAGAATATCATCAATATGTAGGATATATTTATTAATTTCACTTTTCTTAAGTTTTAATTATTCATTATTTCAAGGCCTTGCTTTTGAACCCCAACACACCACAAACACTTACAGACATTGGTTTTGTTTATGCCCTTATGGGCAATTTGGAAGAGGCTATTACATATTTCCATAAGAGTTTGGCCTTAAACCGTGATTGCATTGTTACCTCCACGATTCTGAAGACCTGCATAGAAGATCTAATGGATGATGAATCAATAATAGATGAAATCTATGGCAAACAAGCCTGGGATAGCTATTCTGCTCACAAAATACCCAAAGCTCCCAATCAATTTCCAACAATCGAAGAGGAAGATTCGCCTTCAGTTAAATTCACTGGCATGAAATTGAAATTTGATGATGAAGATATATCAACAAACTCTGATAATATTGATCCCAATGTTATTATGGATATGAGTATGGATATTTAAGCAATACATTTTTGAGTATGCCTATAGACTGAGTAAAAGAGATCAAGGGTAAGAGGTTTAAGTTTATATAAGTTATCTACAAAGTAGTAATCGAATGTTTGTATGATTGAAAAAAGAAATAAAAACAAAGGTATTAATAAAAGAAATAAATATTTATTTAAATTAAATCAAAAGTAAAATTGTTAAAACATTAATTGGTTGCAAATACAACAATACTGATACAGGTCTTTAATTTTTTTGTTTTCATATTTCGCACTGACTCAAACCACTGAATTATCTCCGAAGCCCAAACCGGTCATAATGCCACTTACAAAGCTATTGATTAGGGCATTATCGATGGCTGCATTACCAGCAGTGGAAGCTTGGCCACCACCTGTTCCAGCCGCAACTGAGCCAGAGGAGGACGGGCAGTCATACATGCGATTAAGTTTTTCAATATCCATATCAGAAAATCCATCACGTTGGCCCATTTTTGCTCCACCCATGGGTTTCTGAAAGTAAATTTAATATGAATAAGAATAAGCTCCGAGCATTCACACTTACCGTTGCTATTATTGTGGGTTGACCATTCGTGGAGAAAGCATTTGATGAATAATGCATAACACTGCCATAATCGTAGGGAACACCAAAAGCCATTGTGTGACTAGCTCTTTCGAAATTCGATGCAGCACTTGGTTGGATGTTTTCATATTGTATCGATACAAATGCATCGCGTTCTTCACGATTCTGTTCATGCAAAAATCCCAAGGCATGCATTAATTCGTGCATGGTCGTCCCTGGTTTAGTCAAACATCCAGGTGATTGCAAATTAACTTCCTGTTTACCACCAACACGTCCCACCGAAGACCAACAACCGGAATTACCACTCACAATAGATATGTAATCCTGTTCCGAGGTGCGTCGAACAAATCGTATACACGTACGGCGATGATATTCAGCAATGGCATGTTCTATGATCGCCATATCTTGAGCATTGAAATTACCTCGGATTTCATATGGTACAACGGCGTTTGGCCAGCGTGAACTTTGTGTGGTCAAACCATTTTTGGTTGTTACTCCATCGGTGGGCACAAGAATATCACCCTCCAAATATGAACCCAACTCTTCGGGATTTACTGTAGCATTCGCAGTTTTATAATTGGCCACCAGCTCAGCTGTATCCTTATGATCTGGTTTTCCGAACATTGCCATTCCATAAAAACTCAAATCAATTACATCCTTTGAGTTCTGCTGAGGAGGCGGTAGGTCCAAAGTATTGGCCGAAATTTCCACAGTGTCTTCATCCTCATCTAATTGAGGTAATATGGGACTAGCTTTTATATAACTGACTACCAAAACCAAAGACAATAGAAAAGGTATTAGTTTAAACATTTTTAAAGTTGAGTTTGCTTTCAACGAGGCTATGGTTATGTTATTGCGAATATTTGCAAGGGAAAACTGATGACTTTCCTCAAGTTGTTTTGGATATTTATGGCAACCCAGCATGTGGTTGTGTCCATAAGTTAGAAATGGAAATTTTAATTATTCCATTATTATCTAAGGCAATTTTTCGATTTGTGCTGTTTTTTATCATTATGTTAGGCGGTGCTTTTCTTTAAAGTTCCGCATGAACACATTTCCACAATTTACCAAAAAATTTAGGAATACTTAGTTATACGGACTCAACATTGAATTGTTTTCTTAAGCAAAGGAAAAATGTAAAAATCTATATTTTTATCTGAAAAACCATCATTAAGATTTGCAAGTAATCTTTAAAAAAAAGTCCAGCAGCAAGTTGGGTAGGGGAACAAATTTTGTCAAATACTTTATTCAAAATTTCTTTCAGGATAAAGTAGTGATTTATTTTCATCCTACATTTTATAAATTATTATTTGTTTTTATTATCTCTTTGGATTTAATAGTCGGGATGAATTTCGTATGTCTAAACTTATAATTAACATAATTGGAAAGTGATGATAATTGACTGCTGATTTAGAACAGTCAGTGGAAGTTGAGACATTTGTAAGAATGAGTTGGTCGTTTGTTGTGAAAACGAGGAGTCCAAGGACTTTTTTGTGAACAATTACGCGGCTTCTGTGTTGTGTGAAAAATAAAATCCGTCCACGTCGCTCAAGAACAACTGATAATATTGTCACTGTGCCCAAGATGTTGTCCATTCTTTAAAATTGGGCATTCTACAAACGTCATTACACCATATTTTGAGTAAACAAGAAATCAAGGCGGCGATCATCAACAATGTTGTGTTTTTGTTGATTGGGCCTTTAAACTAGATGAAAATGATCCGAAATTCCCTCAGAGATTAATATTGACTGGTCAGGCCCATTTACACTTTGGTGTCATCGTCAACAAGTCAAAATTGTCGCATCTGGAGCTCTGAAAACCCAGGATTTGTTGTTGAGAAGTCTCTATTTCCTCAACGTGTGACTGCTAGATGCAGTTTATCTCCAGCTGAGTAATTGGACTTTCCTTTTTTGGAAATGATTAAATATTTTTCATGCTATTTTCTTATAAAAATGTCATTACACTGTGCGACAAAATTTATTTTTTTTTTTCATAATTACAGGTTATGATGGTCAAGACCTCGAAAAAATTCACATTTATATAAAGGATATGACAAGGAACGTTTCTTCGTGTTAAGAACTAACAAGTAAAAAATAAGGTAAATTCGTTAAGGGTAGATAAAAGCAAATATGACGGGAGGCTGGGTGCTATATATATATATATATATATATATATATATATATATATATATATATATATATATATTCTTGATAAAAGTAAAATTCTGAGTCGAGTTTCAATACACGTCAATAAAGTCATTATAAAGGCCATTTAAAACAATCCTTATTAGATGTTGCGAAATATAACTCAATGTAATGGGGTAGTTGATTTTATCTGAGAGCCTTAAAAAGTGAGATTTTGTAACTAGTTAACCATAGAATTAACAACAATTACACTGTGCGGCAAAATTCAGCAGATTATTAAATTAGAGGTAAAACAAGGAGACACGTGTATCGGTGTTTTAAAAGATTCATCGAAATCCGTCCATTTTAGGTACATAGTGTCTTCGACAGATAAAAGATGAGGAATATTTTGGTCGACAATTTTAACGCTCAAGCGAGTTAATAAAGGTGTATTTTCGGATCTTTTATGTCCTCCGCCATTCTATGGAGGGTATATTAATTGTGTCATTCAGTTTGTAACTCCTCGAACTATTCATGATAGACCCTACAAAGTATGTATATTCTGGATCAGCGTAAAATTCTAAAACGATATAGCGATATGTTCGTCTGTCAGTCTGTTTTAATCACACAATATTTCGAACGAATTGAGATAGAAGGCTAACATTTTGCACACCGATTATCTCCAATTTCAATAGGATTCGTCCTTGGGTCAATAAAATGTTCAGTGTAAAATGTGATCTAAATTTTGTTCACAAACATACATGAACAGATAGACGGACCGATGAACAGATGGACTCAGAAAGTGAATCTCTGAGAATTCTCAAAAGTAACTAAGGCTCTATTTCATTTCATTGTATGTACAATGCTCCGCCACCGGAGCTGAACCCGTTATGAACTACAAATACAATTTTTTAGACAAATCCGTGGAAAAATGTGGCTAGAAACATAATAACACCGAAATTTTCAGCAGTGACAGCGAAAAGGAAAGACATTTTGACATTTGAGTTACTGAGAGTCTGCAAATTCTTATTGGGAAAATTTACCCACGAATAATTATCCAGTAACATCAGCTGTTCAATAATCAGAAAACATGAATAGAGATAAGAAATAAATGGTTTAAGAGCGGATAATGAGCTATTTCATTTAGGTGTCAAATCCTGCTAAAAAAATAATTATCTATGGAGATGCATGAATAATAGGTATTTTTGCAGAAGGTATTTTTGGAAACCGTTTTCATATGTTTTTATTATTCATTATTTTTTGTAATGAAAAAGTAAAAAAAAAAAACAGTAAAGAAAGTCCTAAAGTCGGGCGGGACCGATTTTATGATACCCTACACCACTTTGCTAATTTAGTTGAGCTCCACATAACAATTAAAAGTTTTTATGGGAGAATTCAATCATACACCCTATGATTATAATTATAATTTAAAATTTAACGGGCCTAAATATGCCGAAGCATTTGTATCTTTTAAATTCGGACGTGTATTGCCATTCGGTGCACAATTAATTTGAAATCAGATAAAGATATATATGGGAGCTATATTAAAATCTGAACAGATCTCGATAAAATTTGGCAAAGATATTTCTGAGTTGTATTTGATATATTTCCCTGAATATCGTTGTTACGGAGTGCATATTACGGTTGTGGTTAGTAAATACAACAAATCGGATGAACAATATATGGGAGCTATAGCTATATCTGAACCGATTTCGATCAAATCAAAACAACTAGACTCAATTCGGTCGTATGTGCCAATTCCATTCCATTTGGACAAATAGAAGTTTGGTGCACAATAAAAGGTAAATGGGACGAAGTTATATATGGGAGCTATATCCAAATCTGAACCGATCTCGATAAAATTCAGAAAATGTATTTCTGAGCTGCATTTGATATATTTCCCCAAATATTGTTACAGAGTGCATATTACGGCTGCGGAGGACAAAAATAACAAATCGGATGAACAATATATATGGGAGCTATATATATATCTGAACCGATTTCGATCAAATTTGGCATACTTATTTTCAGGCCTTATTTGGTTGTATGTGCAAAATTCCATACAATTCGGGCTGATATTACACGTTTGGTGCAAATCGGACGAAGATATATATGGGAGCTATATCTAAATTTTTATCGATCATCTCCAATTTCAATAGGGTTCGTCCTTGGGCCAAACAAATGTTGTTGTAAATTTCATCTTAATCGGATAATACATGCGACCTGCATTTTGTTCACAAGAATACATGGACAGACGGATGGACAGACGGACTGACATGCATTAATCAACTCAGAAAGTGATTCTATGCAGATCATCAAAAGGAACTATGGGTCTATCTCGTTTCCTTTTGCCTGTTACAAACAAATGCACAAAGACATAATACCTGACCTTGTGGTGTAGGGTATAAAAATAAACTGCATGGATATAAACTCCACTGCAGATCTGTTCGATATAACTGTTTGTTGATATATTTCGCATATAAAGATCTTTTTGCTCTCGATTAAGTTCAGATGGAATTTTTCGCCTTAAATGTTATTTCAGAGAAATATAAAAATTTTTATTTAAAAAAAAAACTTGTTTATTATTCTAATAACAATCTTTGGTTTCAATACTGATGTAGATAAAATTTAATATATGTTCTTTTCATTTATCTCTTACTTCATTTAGTCACTTCATTATGTTCAAGCCGTTGGATCGTCACCAAAACCCAAACCAGTCATTATGCCACTGATAAAACTATTAATAATGTTATTATCAATGGCTGTGGTACCGCCAACGGGTGAGGGTGCAGGAACGGGAACCGGAGCAGGTACGGGTGCCGGAGCTGGAATGGGAGCCGGTACTGCAGAACCATAACCACAATCATACATTTGATTTAGTTTTTCAATATCCATTTCAGAAAAACCATCACGTTGGCCCATTCTGGTATTGCCCATTGAACGCTGGAATAGATTTGAGCATAAAGTTGATAATTTCAAAATAAATTTCTACTCACCAGTGCAACAATGGTCGGCCGGCCATTTGTTGAGAAGGCATTTGCCGAATAGTGCATAACACTGCCATAATCATAGGGCACCCCAAATGCTACAGTCCTTGAAGCCTTATCGAAATTCGAAGCTGCACTGGGTTGAATATTTTGATATTGTATGGAAACATAGGAATCGCGTTCCTCTCGATTTTGTTCGTGCAGAAAACCCAATGCGTGCATAAGTTCATGGATGGTGGTTCCAGGTTTTGTCAAACATCCGGGAGACTGTAAATTAACTTCTTGCCTACCACCAACACGACCCACCGAAGACCAGCATCCCGAACTGCCACTCACAATGGAAACGTAATCGGCTTGATTGGTGCGCGGTACAAAACGTATGCAAGTGCGACGATGATATTCTGCTATCGCATGTTCAATAATTGCTCTATCTTGACTGTTGAAGTTACCGCGAATTTCATAGGGAACAATGCCGCGGGGCCAGCGGGAACTCTGGGTGGTTATGCCGTTTTTAAGGACAATTTGATTTTTTGGCACCAGTATATCACCTTCCAAGTAGGTACCCAATTCCTCAGGATTCACCAGAGCTGTATCGGCACTGTAGTTTGCCACCAGTTGAGCAGTGTTTTTATCATCCGGCTCACCAAACATTGCCATGCCATAGAAACTTAAATCAATGACATCCTTTGAGTGTTTTGTGGGTCTATCCAGGCTATTGTCACTGACCTCAATCATTTCCTCTTCATCACCAATGTTTGGAATAATTGGTGTCCCCACGACCAAGGACACTAGACTTGTCACCGCAATAAGGCTTGTCGCGAGCTTCAACATTTTCTTTCTAACTTTCTCAACAACGTCGTTGAATATTTCTAGACCGTTAGACCTCTGTTGAATTCCTTCGATTTTGTATGGCTATTTATACTGGCTCAGCATGTTGCCATGTCCCTACCTCTATTGGACAGTGATTATTTTCGGTGAAGTATCTTCTATTTTATCTATTATTGTCATTTTTATTGGTGTCATTAGGTAAATTTTATTCACCCCATTATTGGAAGCAATTTCCCATGCGCCCGTCTCCCTGTTTTGCTAATGATTTTAGCAAGCATTACTTCTTATCGTTCATATACTTTGCTGGTTTTTGGTATTTTCGGCATGCTTGTTACTGACCTTCATTTATTTACTCGTGTCTGAAGGTATGTTAATTGTATTAAAATGTTCTATATCGTCTTGTAAATAAATTGTGTTTGTAGCAAAAGGTCTAGGGAATTTTGAATAGATAAATGTGCTTTCTTTAATGTTACTTTGCAAAAAAGATTTGGATTTTGTTTTTTTTGTTTTGTCGGCATGCATTTTAAATTCTATTAAAAATTGCAAAATGTTCTATAGCAAAACCTAGATCGACGAAGCGGCAGGCTTCATCGTCGACCTCAACCAGTAAAAACAATTATTCTATGTATCTGCACTTTAAATTTGTTTGGGCTCGGAAGTTAGTAACACTCAGAAACATTGGTATTTGTTCAACATTTTGGTATATCAAATGTCAGAGGTCAAAAATACTCATCACAAAGCTCCCACAAAATATTTTCGAGTTATCTTCAAACCTCGAACATTGCAAATGGGATATGTAGGTCCAATCTCTATGGTACATCACAAACAACTTTTAATAGCTTCCACCTTAGGTTAAAGGAACCATTAGAAGAAATGTGGCAAAAACCATTAAAATGCCAAATATCGGGAGGTACCGTTATATGGGGGCTATACCAAATCGTGGATCTACACATGCAATGTTTCGTCAAAGGAGCTAGAACACATTATGACCTACAAATACCAATCCGTAAAAATCCGTAAAAAGTGTGGCAAAAATCATCAAATCACCGAACATCGGGAGGTACCGTTATATGAGGGCTATACTAAAACGTGGACCTACACATGCAATGTTTCGCCAAATGAACTAGAACCCATTATGACCAAAAAATACCAATTTTCAGGCAAATCCGTGAAAAATGTGGCAAAAATCATCAAATCACCGAACATAGGGTGGTACCGTTATATGAGGGCTATACCAGAACGTGGACCGATATATCTCTTTTTCAATACCAAACATCCTAGACGCTCTACGTCAAATAATGTAGGCTGTATCGTGATATCAACAGACAGACGGACAGACATACAGACAGATGGACATCATTAAATCTGCTGATTATGATAAATATATACTTTATGGGGTCTACGACGGATATTTAAGGATGTTACGAATGGAATGACAAAGTTAATATACCCTACTTTCCAAGGTGGAGGGTATAAAAAAAATATATAAATAAACGGTCCAACTCTGAGGGCATAAATTTGTCGACAAACCGACTGATACTGCTATCGTTAGAGCACTCCACCATTTAAATGTGAATAAATCTTTTGTGTCTCGTACCATAGCTCGTTATCGTGATACTGGTAGGTTAGCCCGACGCCAAGGAAGTGGACGGAAGAAAACAGCAATATCAGCAATGGTTCGAAAAGTAAAGAAGCGACTTGATCGAAACCCGCATCGCAGTAGTTGAAAAATGGCTCGTGAGCTGAACATATCGTAATATTCCATTCGGGAAATATTGAAAAATGAGCTCGGGATAAAGGCATTGAAATTCCAACAAGTCCAAGAACATACACCGGAACAGAAAGAAAATAGACTCAAAGGAGCTAAAGAGTTGTTTCGCTTGGCCGAAAGTGGTGAACTGCCAAATTTGGTTTTCTCCGACGAGAAAACATTCGTTGTCCAGCAGATTGTAAACAAACAAAATGATCGTGTTTACTTGCCAAAGAGGCCAGCTGAAAAATGTGCACCTTCGGTTGGCCACCAGAACTCAAGCGCCGACCATGGTGATTGTGTTGGCCGCAATAACAGCCGATGGTCGCTCTTCGCTTGTATTAATCGACCGTGGCATCAGAATAAATGCCGAATATTATCGCGAAAATATTCTGGAAGGTGTATTAAAGCCTTGAGCACGCAAACATTTTGGCCGCAGACCTTGGACATTCCAAAAGGACTTAGCACGCGCCACTCAAGAATAGTTACAAAATGAGGTTCCTCGCTTCTTTTCCAGCGCACAATGGCTACCAGAATCTCCGGATACCGATCCGTTGGACTATGGTGTCTGGAGTATTTTGGAAAGCAAGGTTAGCACTAAAAATACCAAAGTGTCGATCACCTCAAATACCAAAAAATACCGCAGAGGCCGTTAGAAGGCCATAATTCGTGAAGGTGACCAATTGGAACAAATCTAATATTATTCTACATTCAATAAAAATAAAAAAAAAACAGTAAAGAAAGTCTTAAAGTCGGGCGGGCCGACTTTCTGACACCCTACACCCTTTGGTAATTTAGTAGAGCTCCACATAACAATTAAAAGTTTTTATGGGAGTATTCAATCATACAGGCTATGATTCTAATTATAATTTAAAGTTCAAAGGAATAAATATGCCGAAGCATTTGTATCTTTTAAATTCGGACTTGTGTTGCCCATTTGGTGCACAAATAATTTAAAATCGGATAAAAATATATATGGGAGCTATATCCAAATCTGAACCAACCTCGATAAAATTTGGCAAATATATTTCTGAGCAGTATTTGATATATTTCCCTGAATATCGTTGTTACGGAGTGCATATTACGGCTGTGGGTAACAAATATAACAAATCGGATGAACGATATATGTGGATGCTATAGCTATATCTGAACCGATCTTCACCAAATTTGACATACTAGCTTCTAGACTCAATTCGGTCGTAAGTGCCAAATTCCATCCCATTTAGACATATATTAGACGTTTGGTGCACAATAAAAGCTAAATCGGACGAAGCTATATATGGGAGCTACATCCAAATCTGAACCGATCTCGATAAAATTTAGCAAATGTATTTTTGAGCTGTATTTGATATATTTCCCCAAAATTTTTGTTACAGAGTGCATATTACGGCTGCGGAGGACAAAAATAACAATCTGAACCGATTTCGATCAAATTTGGCATACTTATTTTCAGGCCTGATTTGGTTGTATGTGCAAAATTCCATACAATTCGGGTTGATATTACATGTTTGGTGCACAACAAATTTTGACCGTTGTTGTCCAGCAGATTGTAAACAAACAAATGATCTGTGCAAAAGTTCTTCTGGATCGGGCAATAAATGCGACCTGCATTTTGTTTACAAAAATACATGGACAGACGGACGGACATGCATAAATCGACTAAGAATGTGATTCTATGCAGATCATCAAAAGGAACTATGGGTCTATCTCGTTTCCGTTTGCCTGTTACAAACAAATGCACAAAGACATAATACCCTGACTACCTTGTGGTGTAGGGTATAAAAATGTAAAAATTATGGCGTTTGACGTTCTTGCAGCTTTTTTATCTCACCCTGCATATTTAAGCACATTTTAGGGTTAAAGACGTACTTTGTGTGAGTTTTTGCAAAAATCTCCAAAAAATTATCATCGATTGAAAAATATGACATGACCCACACAATAAAAAAAATCAGGTGATATCTTCTTATAAGGGTTGTACCAAAAACTGTCCTTACATTGATATTTTTGAAAATAGAGTTTCTTCATAAAATAACTCAAAATGTCAACATTTGGCAAAACTAATGGAAACAAGTAAGCAAAGGCTACAGTCGAGCGGGGCCGACCGTTGAATACCCTACAACACTATAATAAACGATACAGTTCATATAGGCGAGATACTCGAAAGAATTCCACAAGATATTGTGACAAATTATAAAAGAAAACCATCAGGTTTCGTTCTCTAATTTTCGAATAATAGCAACTTAAACTAATTTGCTCATTTCCAATTTATTGGTAAATGTTGCACGTAAATGGTCTTCCTAGATCTGGAACCAATATTTCCCAAAGACCTATAATCTCTCAGAAGTGGCAAAAGATTAACATTTATTATTGGTTTTTGACTGAAACGCATCTATATGAGATACAGACATTTGACTATATTCGTTAACGAAATAGTCAGAAGTGCGTCTTCCCTGTATTTGTGAATTCTACAAAAAGTCTCTGGAATATACATTTTCGTATTTTGTCTACAAAAGTTGGCAAACTATTTCACACATTGAATATTTTTGGATGGCCATCCAAAACTGCTTGGCTTTTGCAATGTCCCGTAACCCCCTTTCAAATGTGCGATAATTACGACCTGCCGACAATTTTGCAGTTTTTTTGGTCCATTTCAACCCCTAAATATATGGCGATCATCTCCAAAAAGAGTAGGCTTCTATTCTGAACCTCATCTTATCCCCATGCAAAATTTCGTAAGGATCGGACCATAAATGCGATCTGTATATGATATCCTGATATCCTAACTACTTAGTTTTGTTAGCTGTAGAAATATTACCAAATGTTTAATTCGAAATGAAAATATGCCAAAAATATGACAAAATTGAAAAAATATGAGAAAATTTTACAAAATCAGTATTTTCATCTGTAGAGAGATATTTTTATGCGATTTTTTAGACGTTTTTTCTTTCCTGCCAAGAGGCCATTCTGAATTAATGAGAACTGTCGAAATCAGTTCAGCCGTTCTCGACATATAAGAGATCTTTCAAGCATATCTTCTTTAATATATATATCGCACATATTTTGCTATATATCCGATTTCTTGGATGTTAACATCAATGTAAAGGTCAGAAGTAACCTTGTCATGATTTCGCCGGGATTTAAAATATTCGCGGTTTAATGAAAAATTTTGAATTTTTTCAACACAAAATATATGGTCTATTTTACCCGCTAAATTGGTAGGCTTCTTCCCCGCTCTAAACTCTAGCTACATGCGAAATTCCGCGTCGATTGGTCTATAATTGCGACCTGTATAGCTACTGCAAAATTTGAAATTTTTTCAGTATTTGGTCCATTTCAACCCCTAAACATTTGGCGATCATCTCAAAAAGAAATAGGGTTCTATTCTCGCCCGACCCTGACCTCCATTCCAAATTTCGTGAAGATCGGGCCATAATTGCGACCTGTAGAGTGATTACAAATTAACATGGACAGACGGACAGACGGACGGACGGACATACATAGCTAGATCGACTCAGCTCGGCGAGATAGGAAGATCCATATATACTTTCCTATATGGGAAACCAATATTTCGAGGTGTTACATAATTTTTGGGCCAATCAAACTTATAATACCCCCAACATATAGGGATAGCATTATATATGGTCGAAAATCTATAAAGAGCCTTAACAACATTTGGCCAAAGAACCCAGAACTCCTTTTGGAGTTTTGATCTAAAAACGACTACTTGACTTTTTCCACAACCCAAACTGGCTATTGTGCAGTGAAATTATAAGAAATTTCACAACAAATTGGAAAAAAGTGCTATATTTTCTAGAAATATTTTTTTTTATTAAGAAAAATTGATGCCATTGTTTATGGTATATATTAAGTATACACATTTCTTTTGGCCAGAGACTCACAATGAAATTTGATTTAAAATAAAGTAAGAATTATTTTTATTATTATTATTATTTGACACTTAAAAAATTAAGAAATATTTTCGGTTTTTTCGGAACATTGATGCAAAAATATTTATGCCAGTAATTTATAAATATATTAAACTTGTTCTCGGATTCCATCGCATAGGCAAATATGTACCCACAAATCTTAAAAAGTATTTATGAATAAAAAGTACCTAAACTAAAGTTTCTTCAACTTTTACAAAATCTCTATTGGGTTATTATACTACCTTCAATTCAGACAAACATACAAAAATTCAAGTTTAAGGTAAGGTTACATGAGTCTATTTATAATGTTTATGTTTTCAAACAACATAATCATGCAAACATAGTTTCATTACAACGTCTAATAGGGGTTTTCCAAAGGTCTCAGCAAAGCAGCTGTTTCTAAACACAGATGGTACCAACAAACCTTATGTCGAGCCTACTGAATTACAAACAAATGTGAGAGACATTGAATTTTATAAAATATCAATAAATAATAATAATATTGGATAATACGACTGACTGGTGTTAAAATGCAGGCATTATTTGCACAGCGCTTAATATTTTGTCGTAAAAATTCATTGAGCTTTCATTCATTTTTTACTGTAGCCGCTTATCAGTCAATTGGAGCGAGTCAAGTTCATGAGGTTTGACAATGCACGTCATCCATCGACTACAACTGATTTTAAGAAATTCTTTTGTTGCTGTTGTTGTTTCTTCTATAGTCGAACGGTTGAAAGCCTACAAAACAAAAGGAAAGCTTGACAAGCCTAAATATTTATTTATTTAATTAATGGTTGTTTAAACGACTGTTTCCATAAACAACAGTAACAACATAAAATGCTCAGGAATATAGTTATCGAGTTCAATGCACTGTGGTTTCAAACAGTTGTTCAGACAGGAGAACAACTGTTTCTTGTGGCAGGATCTATTCAATCAATTGTACAGGGTGAGATCAAAAAACTGCAACAATGTCAATCGTCATAATTTTTTTTATTTTTTACCTTTATTGAATGAAAGCAAAAAAAATCGGAAATAGCATCAAATTTTAGAATCAGTTTAGATTTGTTCGAATTGGTCACCTTTGGCACGAATTATGGCCAATTAAACCGTCACACGTTACCCGAATGTTGCTCTGCGACATTTTGGCCCCTTTGGCCTTTGGCCTTTTTTTCAGTCCCAACCTTGCTTTCCAAAATTCTCATATTGTAACCGTTCTTGGGTGGCGCGTGCTGAATGTAATAGTGCTGAGTCCTTTTGGAATGTTCAATGTCTACGGCTAAAATGTTTGCGTGCCCAAGGCTTTAATACACCCTCCAGAATATTTTGGCGATAATATTCGGCATTTATTCTGATGCCACGATCGATTAATACGAGCGGTGTGGCGGCCCACACCATCACTATGGCCGGCGCTTGAGTTCTGGTGGCCAACCGAAGGTGCACATTTTCAGCTACCCCTTTAGCAAGTAAACACGATCATTTTGTTTGTTTACAATCTGCTGGACAACGTATGTTTTGTCATCGGAGAAAACCAAATTCGGCAGTTCACCACTTTCGGCCAAGCGAGGCAACCCTTTAGCTCTTTTGAGTCTATTTTCTTTCTGTTACGGTGTAAGTTCTTGCACTTTTTGTAATTTCCATGGCTTTACCCCGAGGTCATTTTTCAATATTTGCCGAATGGAATATTGCGATATGTTCAGGCCACAAGCCATTTTTCGGCCACTGCGACGCGGGTTTCGATCAAGTCGCTTATACACTTTTCGAAACATTTCTGCTGATATTGCTGTTTTCTTCCGCCCACTTCCTTGACGTCGAGCTACGCTACCATATTACGGTATCGAGCGATGGAACGAGACACAAAATTTTTATTTACATTTGAATGCTGCAATGCTATCGTTAGATGGCGACTTGTGGTTTTCCAGTCAAATATAAAGAAATCTCACTATCACGCTTGAATTCCATCACAAATAATTTTTTTTCTGGAAAATTCTCACCAAAATGCTTTTGTACGCTTGTAGACAATATAATGAGCTGTCACTGGAATAATTTTAACAGCTGTCGGACAAGTGGCTTAGAAATGACAGCAGTCTGAAATTGGTTGCAGTTTTTTCATTTTACCCTGTATTTTTAATTCTGTGGAATTAAAACCTCATTCAACCAGGCTGAAATTAAGTTTTCCCATGGGAAACCCCCAGTCAGCTAGGCTGAAAGGAAATTTTCCATGGGAAACCCCCTTACAGCTAGGCTGAAATTAAGTTTTCCCATGGGAAATCCACATTCCGCCAGGCTAAAATGAAATTTTCCCAAGGGAAATCCCCATACAGCTAGGCTGAATTGAAGTTCTGATATGGCCTATTCAGCCAGGCTGAATTGAAGTTAAAACAGCTAGTTTTTTGTTTCATAACCACTGTCCTCTGATCGCTGTGATATCGATGAAGTATCATGCTGCCAGGGGGTTTCACTCAAATTGTGCCAACTGTGGTGTTAACTGGGGCTATTTTACGACTTGTTATAGTTCTATTCGATTTTACGTCGATTATTGACACAACATGGTGGTGAATGTTTTTATGTTGTTGTTTTTATTATTATTACTGTTGCTTTATTTCCAATATTCCATTCAGTTCCCGCGAAAAAGTATATATATTTGAATGTATGCGATTCGATTCGAATAGTTGTGAGTTTGAAATTTTCCCAAGAACATTAAAGCGATTGGAGTATGGACTCTGTAAAGTTTTCCTTAATAATTTGTTTGAGCTTCGCAATGGCTCGGTGTATTCCATTGAATGAAAATAATTTGCATGTAAATCTTGGAAATCGTATAGTGGAAATAAATTCGGAGGAAACTGAAGGATTTGAAATAAATCTTGAGGATTATCCGGATATTCCTTTGGAGAGTGATCATTTAATAAGTGGTATATCCAGTGGATTTCCATCTTTGGATGACAGTCATATAGAGGAAATTGGGACAACCACAGAACCAGCTGGCAAGGACCCCAATGTCTTAGATTTGAGTATCTATGGCAGCTCATTATATCGCATACCGGATTATAACAAGACAGCACGTCTTCTCGAAGAATACGAACCCGAAAGTGCCGCTGTTAATCCTGAAGAACTCGGTCCATATGTAGAGGGTGATATTCTTATGCCTCAAACATCGGTGATATTAAAAAATGGTCTCATCTCAACCTCAACACGTTGGCCCAATGGCATTGTTCCCTATGAAATTGGCGCCCAATTTCAACGTCGTGACATGAACGTTATACGAAATGCCATCCAAGAATATCATCGCAGAACTTGTATACGCTTTGTGCCACGTACCAACGAAAAGGATTATATCTCCATAGTTAATGGAAAATCGGGTTGTTGGTCATCGATAGGACTTGTTGGCGGCAAGCAAGAAGTGAATTTACAATCGCCTGGTTGTTTGAGCAAACCTGGTACGGCCATGCATGAACTCATGCATGTGTTGGGGTTTCTTCACGAACAGAATCGTCAGGAACGTGATGGTTTCGTTGATATCAAATATCAGAATATTAGACAAGCTGCCTATGAAAATTTCAAAAAGGTTTCACCCACAATTGCTTTTGGGGTGCCCTACGATTACGGCAGTGTAATGCATTATTCGCCGAGGGCTTTCTCACAGAATGGTCAACCCACAATTGTGGCGAAGGTAAGTTTAAGTGAGAATGGACAATAATTTAGAGAAAAGTAATTTGGGACAGAGTTAATTGTGCAAAGGTGGTCAAATTGTCTGTCCATGTATGGTAAAACCTCAAAGATTATTTAACTTCGAAAGTCATAAGAAAAATACAATTTTCAAGTTGGACTGGAATATTGGGTTTTATTTGCACAAAAAATTAATCCATGATAAAAAGAAAATATTATCCCTTAATTGTAAATTAACGCCGAAAATATGCAACTGAGGTTGAAGTAGTTTTTAATCGTAATCCTCATTATTAATAACAATAAACACACTTATACAAAATGTGTGTAAATTTTGACGGAATAGAGTTCACTCCATCTTATACTTAGCGCACAAAAGGCCAAAATTTCGAAACACCCTGAACACCATAAAATACGAAGGATCTTTCTGTTTGGACATTTTCACACTATTTTTTTCTCCAAAATTGAAGTTAATTTCATACCTTCCCCACAAAAGGTAAAACTTTTGAACATGAAACGTGGTATCCGATTTGTGCCAGTTTTTGCGCTTCTTAATATGATTTTTAAGAATATTTCTTTAAAATGTTTATGTTTGAATTTTTTTGGTGGCTTTACGTCCATAATTGTGAGTTCCATAAAATATATTTTTAAGAGCTTTTTGACCAACATTTGTATGTTTTTTATAAAAAATATATTAAGAACATCCTTTTTTTTAAGAATTCCCCTAGGATTTGCAGAGAATTCCTGCCAAAAATGATGGGTATATTTTTATTGAAAAACTTCCTTCAACGTAATGTAAGGTGACGGTAACAATAAGGTAAATAAGGATATTTTCAAACAAAAAACTTCTCCAATGACCAAAGAGTGATCAGCATGTCAAACTTCAACTCATCACTGTATTTTGTAAACCATGGAACTGAGTTTGCCTTGTTATTGCAATTTGTAGAACTTCCACCCTATTTCAGTCCGAAATTAAAATTTCGAAGTTATTGCTCTCACAGAGCTTTCGATGTCCATAATGTCAACCACAATTTAAAAAAATCTCCATTATCTTAATTTAAAACAAAGCACAGGTTTGGTCATTTTCACTCGGGAACGAAACTTGCTAGCGAGCAGGGTTGCTCGAGAGTGGGAGTTTTTTGTATTGTGTGGAGAACTTCCGAGACACCCCTGTTTGAAAAATTAGAGAAAATGTTTATTCTAAAGTTGTAAATGAGTGGAAAAATATTTAGTTTTCTGATTTTAGCAAACGGGCTTTGATGTTGCTATATGCCGTAGAAGAGGGGAAAGTGGTGGAAAGACTGAGGAAGAGAAAAAAATACAACAAGGGCATGACAAAAATAAGAGTGCGCTTGGAAAGTGTAGAAACTGCTCGATCTCTAACGGATTTTACTCTCGCTCAAGAACGAGGAGATCATGTTAAGTTTGCTTGATTTTTTTGCATCTAGGAGCGTTCCCGCTCGAATTTGTACAAAGAGTGAAACACACTCTTTTCCTTTTTTCGGAGGTCTGATTTAAGCTCCTACCTGTTAGTGATTGCTTAATAACAATCGAACAGCATATCCTACCTTTAAGCACTTTTCGTTCGCGAGAGCAGCAATCGTGTAAATTCCAAACGGTTAGATCTTACCTTTTAGTACATTTTATGCCCTTAAAGTACGAATATCCAAAAATTCTTCCCTCATACAAGATGTTAATGACTCTCGCTCACCGGTTGCATTGCAACAGAGAGGTACTTTATTATGCCTTGTTGTACTTTTTATACCCTTTAAAGTACGAATTACACAAATTTCGTTTTATTTATCTCGTGACCCAGTCAAAACTATATTCGAAATTTTAGAATTTTTGTTTTAACAGTACTAGATTTAATACTTTTTACTACTTAATTCCAAAAACTCTACCTTACCCAATGTTTTGCATTAATTATCTTAAATGTCAAGATTCTAACATTAAAAGTTTAGAAATATGACATTTAAGTATAAAGTAATATTTAATACTTGATACTTAAATACTTTTAATATTTAGTACCATTTAGTATAAATGTTTCCACATACTCCAGTTCATGACCCCTAAACACAAGAAATTAACCCATAATAAAGTTAAGGTTCAATTATACGTGACATACAACATCGCCGTAGCCATAAAAATAACTATAACTTTGCACACATTACCAAATATGGTATTTTTCACAAAACACAATAGAAACTGCCAGCTCTAAAAGAATACAATTTTTGTCCAAAAACACAGACTTTAGTACCTTTTAATACGAATTTATAAAAACCGTTTACAATCATCCACATGTCAACCAAAAAACAGGGCGCCCCAAGCTTTCATTTTCCAAAGGATATTGGTGGGTGATGAGACCCATATACACACAGATAATATACGAAAGTTGTGGTCCATTTTACAGCTAAATATAATTAAATAATCATCCACAATGCTAGGCCTAAGACCAGTCTCTCTCTTCTCATGCAAAAGTATGTGTGTCGATTGGGTTTCAATTGTGATCTGTAGAGCGACTGTAAAATCTGGACAATTTTATTTTGTTGGTCCATTTGAACCCCTATATGTAAATCTTCAACAACAATAGGCTTTAATTTCGACCCTAACCTAATCCCCATGCAAAATTTCGAGAAAATCGGACGATAATTGCGACCTGCATATAATAGAAATTTTGAAAATGTACAATTCAAAACTGTAAAACAAATTAAAAAAAATTGCATGCGATAAAAAATATGACAAAATTTTAAAAAATATAACAAATATTCAATTTTTTATTGTCGATTTTCTTAGATGTTATCCATTTCTGGCAAGAGACCATTACTTATATACTTGACTTATAAGCAAAATAACTAAGACATATTTTTTTACACATGTATTACCTATTTTGCTATATATCCGATATATTGGCTATAAGAATCTCTAAAATGGTCGGAAGTGACCTTGTAATGTATTTTTGATTTGGCCGGGATTACAAATATTCGAGGTTAATTGGAAATTTTCGTATTTTTGACCTAAAAGATATGGTTTATTTTAACCCGGTAAATATTGTCCTATAACTCTTTGCAAAACTCCGTGATCGATTGGTTTATAGTTGTGACCTTTAGAGCAACAGCAAAATCGGGAAAATTTTCTGTTTTCTGAGCATTATGCGATCATCTCCAAAAACAAGAGGCTTCTGTTCCGGCCCTAACCCCACCTAAATTTTCAATTTCGTGAGGATCGGACCATAATTGTGACCTGTAGGATGATTATAAATTACCACGGACAAACGGACGAACGGACATATATAGCTAGATCGACTCAGCTCGGCGAGATGGGAAGATTTATATATATTTTCCCATGTGGGAAACCAATATTTCGAGGTGTTTCATAATTTTTGGCCCAATCATATTTATTATACCCCCAACACATAGTGTTGTAAGGTACGGAGATAATTTTATATTTTATAACTAATTTTTTTCTTCTTGATTATTTTCAGCATCCCGATGGTAATCAGATCATGGGTCAACGCAATGGATTCTCAAATTTGGACATAGAGAAAATAAATCGCATGTACAATTGTTACGCGAATGATTTAAACAACGAAATCCAGCCTTCGGACATTCCCACCCGCACAGCATATGCTCGACCTGGTCGTCTAATTGGGAATATTGTTAGCAATCTTATGTCTCGTCTTACTCAAGTTGTTTAATATTACATCTACATATGTACATCTATTTAGTTACGTATTTGTATAGACTGAATTAGCATCGAACTTCATTTGTTGAAAAAAAAAACTACATATACTCCCGCATATAAAAATAGATAGTTCTTAAAAGTACAAATAAAATATCTATATATATAAATGTAAGTTGTGTTAGTTACTACGCTTATAACTTAAGAACCGCTGGATTAATTTTAACGATTCACACAAATTCGGAGTTGTCTACTCTCCGAAAAGGATAATATCCAAAAAAATCGCGTAAAAATGTGATATATTAACATTTTCATTTTGACTTTTGAAATGTACAATAGTAATGTTTTATTTTGCATGATTTTTTCCATTTTGACTTACTTTTTTCTAATGTACATTTGTAGTGTTTTTTTATATTTTATTTTTGAATTCGAATATTTATACCAATTTATTTAATTGACTTGATTTCTTGAGAACTGAAATTGATGGCGGGTTACATGGAAGTGTAGTAGCGAATTATGTGGTGGCGAAACGGAATAGATGATATCGAAATAATTTAACGCGGTCACACCAAAGTTAAAAGATAATTACTTTTTCTAAATCGCTGAAAAATCATGAAAAAGAGATCTCATTGCAAAAATCAAAAAAACATTTTCAATGGAATCGAATTTTAAAGTAATAGTACATTCTATTGACAAACTTTGTAAGGAAGGATCTTAAAACATTTGCTGTAAAAAATCAGCGAAAAAGTTGAAGACTTTTTCAATTTGTTATTCTTTTTTTTGTCAATTTTTTTTTTGTGAACAAAATAAAGAATAATTTTTCATCGTGGGTTAGTTGGAAGATGCGTACACGTTTAAACAAACAAAAATGACCGAAAAAGCTTAATGGGGCTCATTTCAAAGCGTGACAATGATCCGTCCAATGAGAGCTCAAAATGCAAAATTCTTTGGGAGAATAATAAGTAATATACCAATATTGAAATAAAAGGTGCAAAATAGTAGAGCGAATGGGACTTTTAGTAAGAAAAGGTTTTATATCCTTCCAGAAATTCTTCCCAAACATTCAAAATACCTAAAATCACTTTTGCAGGTCTTTATATCGATCATAACTCATGGATAAGGGAACAACCCGATTTCATATTTATATAACCGTCTATGATTTAAGTTATTTTTGGGGTCTTGGCAGGCCACTTTTTTCATTTTTGGCCCTTATTTGACATTTTTGTTTCTAAGGGGGTAGATAACCTCTTCGCATAAAATTTGAAATTTTCAGAGTAGGGCCCATATTGGTATTGACCACATTCATCAATTGATTTGGCTAAAAAGTTTTATTTATGCCACCCTGGGGTAGGGAACCATCATACAGATAATTGCCACATAGGAATTTATTTAAGTAAAGTCCCCACATTGGAGTATCCCCAAGTCCACTTTCACATCTAATGTGTGGTCAGAAAAGAAAATTTTGTATTCTATTGAATTTTTAACCCCCAAGAGAATATTGGTTGGGAACGTAGATTTGGGATGTGCATCCATATGAAATAAATTGTGGAAACATGAACAAATTACAAATATAAGAAAGTAGCACGGGACCGAATATTTGTTTAATCATCATTGAATTATCCTATGATGAAAATATGGACTTTAAGGGGTCTCCAACTTACAATTTAAATGGCAAATAAAATTAATTCCCATCTTATCATTCTGCCCTCAATTATGAGGTGGATAAAACTATTTTTACTTATTTAAATCACGCGAAATGCTATGACATGCTATATTGTTCTGCTATATTTTTGATTTGGCCTCTATTTGTCATCTTGGATTATAAGGGGTAGAAGAAAGTTTTCAATGTAGGTCGATGTTTCGGAGTAGTGCCCATATAAAGAAGGTACCTCCTAATTTAACCACATTTCAAAGAATTTGGCTAATAATGCGTATTAGGGGGGTGAAAATCTTACACTAAAATTTCAACATATCTACAAATTTTAGAATTTTTATCCATGTTATAATACCCTCTCAAGTCCACCTTTTGGCGGACAAACAGACTGACATGGTTAGGGGGACTTATGAGGACTCTAATGCACAATCTAAGTTGCTAATGGGTTTAAAAAAGTAATTAACTTTGGCTATTCTTAAATCATTCAGCCCTCAATTATGTAGTATACAAAATACAGCAAATTCCAAATTACTGCTCATTTGACTGGAAGATTTTGCCAAGATTTTTACCATATTAAAAATTAATTTGATCCCTTATATGGCGATAAGATTGATATATACTTTTTAATAGATTTGTATAGCACATCCACACAGTTGAAGCCCACTGGTTAAAAATGGGTACAGGTATTTTAAAACACTTTAAATCGACCTGTACGTGAACACTTATATCAGTCATATCTGTGAATAATTATGCTTGGGAATATATGCATAATAGACAAAAACTACGGGCCGGCAACGCGGACCGGGCCAGCTAGTAATAAATAAAATATATAAAATATTTCCAATTTATTTTGATTAATAAACTCATACAGGTTCTAAAAATCCCCCAACGATTTTCGAATTGCATACTTTACCAAAACTATGAAAAATTTATAAAGGTGCAATATTTCATTGTTAGTAACTGTGGATTTTGAAAACATTGAAATGGGGTCAGCTGGCAGTTTCAACAAAATATTGAGTTCATTATGTCATGGAATTGTACAAAGTGATAGAAAGTAATGTGACTTTTGCATTAAAGAGCACAAAAATTACATTTTTCTTGATACCAACTCCCGGGACAAAAATTGTGTCGGCCCTAATTGACATATTTCGAAAGTAGTGGAGAATATTTATGTTTGCACGATGGTTAGTCTTGGTGCGTAGGTGTATGATAAAGTTTAAAACATACTAAGGGGTACTAAATTGGGTATTGTGTGAAGGAATAGAGCTGAAATCCGGAAATTTGATATGGATGTCACTGTTGGTGTCTGTGGAACCAGAGAAGTAGCTAGTTTTGGATATGCGTACAAATTTGGTAATGAGTCAACGTATAGGGCTAGAATTCCGAAATTTATTATTGAAGTCTCTGTTGGTATCTGGAATTGAGATCTGAGTGTGGTTTTGCAAATGCGTGCTATGATTGTTCGTTCTTGTTTTTATATGTTACTAAATTTGGTATTGGGTGAAGGGATATACCTAAAATTCTAATATTAAGGTCACTTTTGGTTCCTTGAGTTTACGTATAAAAACGTTTAAATAATTTTTGACGGGAAAATTGGATGTGGCTCCATTGTGCAACGGTTTTACTAATATCCTCCTCAGTAAACTTCAAAATCCATTGTTCTATCATTCCTTCCGAAAAAAAAACTTGAATATTATATGAAATCTTGAAGTGTACATAGTACTATGTGTTAAGTTTGTGTTAAAAAATTGTGCATTTTGAGTACAAACAAGTAAAAAAGCTGTAAGTTTGGCCGGGCCGAACTTTAGATACCATCCAGCATTTGGAACGAATTTAGCAACTTTCAAAATAGAAAATCCGTTAAAAAAAATTCTTTTAAAATATATTATATTAGGGTCTATACGACAACGTGGACCTGCATCTTCAAAATACCGAATATTGGGAGGTACCGTTATATGAGGTCTATACGAAGACGTGAACCTGCACAGACAATGTTCTGTCTTAGGCTGTAGTATCCATTACGAAATTCAAATACCAAATTTGAAACAATTCCGGTGAATAATGTCGCTAAAATCATCAAAATACCGAATTTCGGGAGGTACCGTTATATGAAAGCTATACGAAGGCGTGGACCTTCACAGACAATATTCTGTCATAGGCTGTAGTATTCATTACGAACTTCAAATACCAAATTTGAAACAATTCCGGTGAATAATGTCGCTAAAATCATCAAAATACCGAATATCTGGAGGTACTGTTATATGGGGGCTATACCAAAACGTGGACCTACATGGCCCATTTTCAATACCAAAAGTCCTGCAGACATAATATACATTTGAGTGAAGTTGTTTTCAATCTACTTCAATTCATTCAGAAACGAGAGTGATTTCCACAGACGGACAGATGGATAGACGGACGGACATCGCTAAACCGACATAGAATTTTATGCTGATCAAAAATATATATACTTTGTGGGGTATAAAATGTATATTTCGAGGTGTTACAAACGGAATGACAAACTCAATATATCCTCCATACAATGGTGGAAGGTATAAAAAGGCCTAACACCAACTGTATGAACGAATCTAAGATTTTAAGGTGTACTTTTCGCTGGCTAGTGGCAGGCACTTGCTAGTACTATATAAAATTTTACGAGAGAAAAGCGTTCTTAAACCCTACACCATACTTCAAGGTATTATGTCTTTGTGCACTTGGGAGAAGGAAACGGAATAGATAGATATTCCCATACATTGAAAAAGAAAATTGGTGAAAGCTTTATGGAAAATATTGCTACTAAATAGTAAAATAGTTCCTGAATGGCTAAACTTAGCTGACTCGTCGAACTTTGCCTTACATTTAAGACAAATTTAAAGCAGAAAGCCGATTTGGTCATAAATTTGCGATACAAACGAAATCTTCGTATTGCTCCAAACGTCTAGATCTTTTTCGCTCATATTCCTACTGGGAAAATCTTATTAATTTTTGTTTGCTCATGCAAATTTCGCAGAGTGGTAAAACATTTCGAACTTGGTTAAATAGATAATAGTAAAGTCATTCCTTCTAGCTTATCAGTCAAATAGTTCAAGTTAAGGTAGAACCTGACAAGGCGTCAAACATCATCACCGCACTCGAAGTTTTGGTAAAGAATTTAATCAGTATTACGCCAAAGATAAATAAACATTTAAATGCAACTTCTAGGTAAATATTTCACAAAACAATGAATCAGGCCATAACTTCTTTTCAGTTGGATATCAGTTGTCGTGGGAAGTATATAAAAGTTCAATATAAAATAAGAATAAGATCTACCATTCTTCGGGCATTACTTTATGGACATTTTTGAAAATGCAACTTGCAAAATTAATAGCCCATTTATTTGTTTACTTTCATTCTACCCAAAGTTTTTCCATAAAAGCTCCAACCTATTTTGCTGAAAATAATGCCGATATATCAAACTCAAGTGCGGTAGAAGTCGTGGTAAATAATGCCATTACACATTTACAAGAGACGGAAAATCAGAAATCTTCAACGAATCCAGAAGAAATCGGTGTGCACATTGAAGGAGACATAGTTCAAAATACAAAATTGTTTTCTAAAAATGGTGTCGTTTCCAAAACGTATCGTTGGCCATATGGTGTTATACCGTACGAAATTGCCGGAAGTTTTAATCAACATGATTTGGAAATAATTCACTATGCAATTCTTAATTTCCATCTCAAAACTTGTGTGCGTTTTATACCACGACGTTACAATGAAACCGATTACATATTGATAAATAATGAAAAATCCGGTTGCTGGTCATATGTCGGACGTCAGGGTGGACGGCAGAGATTAAATCTTGAATCGCCCATATGTTTGATCAATCCCGGTACGGCAATACATGAACTAATGCATGTCTTGGGATTTTTCCATGAACAAAATCGTCAGGAAAGAGATTCGTTTGTCAAAATTCTTTACGAAAATATCCGTGAAGGTTTGCAGAATAATTTCCGGAGAAGATCTCGTACGGCAGCATTTAATGTGCCCTATGATTATGCCAGTATCATGCATTACTCGTCAACGGCATTTTCACACAATGGTCAACCGACCATTGTGGCAAAGGTAAGTTTGTTTTTCCGTATTCTTCTACCCAAATAACAATCTCGATTATCTTTTGACATCCTCCAAGCAACCTGAATATAACAATATAATGGGACAACGTTACGGTCTCTCATCTTTGGATATTGTGAAAATAAATCGTATGTACAACTGTTATGGAGATCTAAGAGCGGAAGAAAAACCAACGACTGTTGCTGAAAGTACTCCGCTATCTATATTAAAACCTGAGTAACTATTAGTAATTGTATGAAAATGAAACAATAAATATGTACTAGTCAAATATACAATATTTGTAATTTTTGGTTCAGGGTTATTCGAAATTCGATATGCTGGGTTGACACTTTCAGCACTCTTTTCCTTTTTGTTAATTTTTCTATGTTTTTTTCGAGATGATGGATAAGAGTAACATAAAATTATGCCATGTTTACGTTAGAACATTTTGCTGGGTTAACCTACTTTGAGAGGATTTATTTGAAGTAAAAGTAATGGATATGACAGTTTAAATCCAAATCTAGTGGGTTAACCCTCATATATATAAACGTACTATTACATTCTTTTTCTTTGGGGAAAGTAACAGATTTTCCTGCAAATTTCGAAATTTACTACAGAATTGTCTGAAAATTAAATAGGCTATATAAATTTTTGAAATTCAACTTGGAACTGGAGATATAACATCAGAATCGGGGGTACCTCCAGAAAATTTAAATTTTGTCTATTGATCGTTTATAGATACAGTCTTCAAATTTGAAATATGTAACGGAATTCAGTACAAGAATTGGATATAGCTCCTATGTATATTTTCGGCCGATTTCATGTATTTGATGCACCAAACATGCTATGTACAGGGTGAAATAAAAAACTGCATCCAACTTCAGACTGCTGTCATTTCTAAGCTACTCGTCCGACAGCTGTTAAAATTATTTCAGTGACAGCTCATTATATTGTTTACAAGCGTACTAAAGCATTTTCGTGAGAACTTTCCAGAAAAAAGTTATTCGTGAAGGAATTCAAGCGTGATAGTTTAATTTCTTTATATTTGGCTGGGAAACCACAAGTGGATATCGTTAGAGCACTCCAGCATTTAAATGTGAATAAATCTTTTCTGTCTCGTACCATCGCTCGTTACCGTGATACTGGTAGCGTAACCCGACGTCAAGAAAGTGGACGGAATAAAACAGCAACATCCGCAGAAATTGTTCAAAATGTAAAGAAACAGTGGCAGAAAAATGACCCGTGTGCTACACATATCGCAATATTCCATTCGGCAAATATTAAAAAATGAGCTTAGGGTAAAGCCATTGAAATTCCAAAAAGTCCAAGAACTTACACCGCAACAGAAAGAAAATAGACGCAAAAGAGCTAAAGAGTTGCTTCGCTTAGCCGAAAGTGGTGAACTGCCGAATTTGGTTTTCTCCGATGAGAAAACATTCGTTGTCCAGCAGTTTGTAAACAGACAAAATTATAGTTTTTACTTGCCAAAGAGGTCAGCTGAAAATGTACACCTTCGGTTGGCCACCAGAACTCAAGCGCCGGCCATAACAGCCGATGGTCGGTCTCCGCTCGTATTAATCGACCGTGGCATCAGAATAAATGCCGAATATTATCGCGAAAATATTCTGGAGGGTGTATTCAAGCCTTGGGCACGCAAACATTTTGGCCGCAGACCTTGGGCATTCCAACAGGACTCAGCACCATCGCACTCAGCACGCGCCTCCAAGAATGGTTACAAAATGAGGTTCCTCGCTTTATTTCCAGCACACAATGGACATCAAAATCTCTCTCACTATTGTGTCTGAAGTATTTTATAAAGCAAGGTTGGCACTAAAAAATACCAAAATGTCGATCACCTCAAGCAAACGCTTCGCCGGGAATGGGCCAAAACTCCGTAGAGCAACATTCGGGCAGAATTTCAGATACCAACAGAGACCTCAATATCAAAATTGGGAGTCCCACCTCTATCCCTTCACCCAATTTTAGTCCAATTAATTATTTAGTACAATTTAGTTATTAGTTCCATTCAGTACTTTTCGTTCAATTATAGAGCATATTATGGAAACCACCATATGTCCGAGCTACATATGAACAGCGACCCTAATACAAAATTTCAGATTTCACCCAATACCAAATGGTACCAAAGGCAGCACAGTTTAGCACTTGTAGTACACATTTGCAAAACCACCTTATTATATCAAACATACTTTCCAACCCCTGATTTTCAAAAGTCGCATTTTGTGTATTTAGTAGAGCTCCCTCAACAAGAAAGTTTATATTGTTAATTTATGTGAAGTAGATCATACCAACATTCAACCAAATAACATTGCTGTATAATGCATGATATGACTTCGATTAGGATTATATTAAAATATATTTATTGGAGCAATAGATATTCCGAACTGAGATTCACCCAGTGGGAAAATTCGGGTAAATATGAAGAAATGTAACTAATTCTGGCTGATATTACATATATGGTGAACAATAAATGTAGAATCGTATGAAAATGTGTATCGAAGCTATCTATATAAACTTCTGATCTCGATAAAATTTGCCAGAATTATTTTCGAGCTGTATCTGATGTCCGGTATCAAATATCATTGTTGCCGAGTGCGTATTACGCATGTGAGGGACTTAAGCTCCAAATTGGATGAATCATATATGTGAGAGTTATAGGTATATCTGAACCGATTTCCACCAAATTTGAAGTACTTATTTCTAGGATGAATTCAATCGGAATTTGCCAAAATTCAGTCCGTTTGGGCTGTTACTAGCTATTTGGTGCACAAAAAACCTGATATCGATTAAAGATATATATGGGAGCTATATCCAAATCTGGACCGACCTTGACAAAATTTTAAACATTTATTTCTGAGCTGTATCTGGTACCAAAGATTTTTGTTATGGAGTGAATATTACGCATATAAGGGACATAAAACCCCAAATGGGATGCAATATATATATGGGCACTATAACTATATCTGAACCGATTTTCTCCAAATTTGATCTACTTACTTCTAGACTAAATTCAGGCAATTTGGACTGATATTGGCCATTTGGTGCACAATTAACCCGAAATCGGTTGAAGGTATATATGAGAGCTATATCTAAATTTGAATCGATTCTCACCAGTTTCAATAGGGTTCGTCCTTGGGCCAAACAAATTTTGTTTGGAAAATTTCATCTCAATCGGATAATAAATGTAATCTGCATTTTGTTCACAAAAATACATGGACAGACGGACGGACGGACTGACATGCATAAATCGACACAGAAGGTGACTCTATGAAGATCGCTTCCATCTCCATGTTACAAACAAATGAACAAAGCCAAAGTAATCTTACCACTATGTGATGTAGGGTATAAAAACATAAATCTTAAATTATTCAAGAATTTTTAGCAGAAAAGTCGTCGAAATATTGATTAGATTTTAGGAAGGTTTTCAAGGGAAGGAAATCATTATTTTGGAGCTTTACATTGTCTCTTTTTTGCTTTTGGCCGATCCTTGTTCAGAAAAAAAACCAAGGCGTGCCAGTTTTTGATCATACAGAAAACTAAGGTGGATATAAACTATATATGCAATAAACTGATGGCAATGTTCCGAACAGGTTGAGATCTTTTTGCTTAGAGGAAAGACCCTAACAACTGAGTTTTTCAACCGGATATTCACTTAACAAACCCGAATTGTTTACCCATAACATTTATGATCCAAACATATTTATTATAGAAGTTTCTGATATTTGTATTTTGGTAAATATTAATATTCTAAGCGTTCCTCTTGGCAGCCAATATGCGTGACCGCGGCAGACGACACTGGCTAATGCTGTGCAGACGATATTGCATTTCGGGCTGAGCGACCTTTTCATATAACTTATGTTTGGCCTCCTCAACAGTGTGTACCGCAACGCCACCATCACCCGCCTCATCCATATTGAAGGCTTCACCTTCGGCACACTCGGGACACTGTTGAGTCAGAACAATATCATTGAGTTCGGTGGGCCATTCACAAATCTTTTCAATTTGTTTGACAACATAATCGCCAAATGCCTTGCTCTCGTCCCTTCGCTCCAAAACATAAACACTGGCCGTTATGTCGAATATACGACGTTCCAAAATCTTTAGGAACCTTCGCACATTGACCAAATCAACGTGACTGTGATTACCGAGCAATACCATAAGCGGAGAGGCATCACATTGAGACAATTTAAAAAGTGTTTCAATACCCTTTAGGAGACTATCCAAACGCTGATCATTCGACTCACGAACCTTTTGTAATTCCGAATTTTTCTTTTGCTTTTCGGCCAGAGTTTGCTCTAGACGTTCTATGGTCTCGTATTGATCCTGGAGAGAATTCAAATTGGTTTTCTTCAATGAGTCGATGTCATTGTAAAGACGATTGACCGAATTCGTTAAAAGAGTCATGTGATAGCTTAGTTCGTTGGCATAATTGAAATAGGAATAGTAGAGACTCTCCTGCTGCTGGAATTTTTCAATGACCTTTTCGACATTTTGTGTCTGGGTATAGTCTTGAATTTTCTCCAAAATCTTGTTGTACAAATTGATTTTCTTTTTGTGGTATTGGCGAAACTTTTCACGACGCGCATACTCCTTGGGTTGTAAATCAGCCAATTCTCGTGCCTTGCCTTTGGTATCCATAAATTCATTTGTATCTGTTTCGGCAGCAATTTTTCTCATCAGACCTTGCATTTCTACTTTGCGCATATCCTTTTCTTTTTTATCTCGTTTCACCAGATTGTCAATTTTCTCATAGATATCTATGCAATTGTCAAAGGTACCCAGGGCGTATTCGATCAATTCAATTAAATATTTTTTGTCACTATTTAGCTTCTGAACCAATTTCGAATAAGATTCATTGAAAAACGTACGATGATTGAGTATTTTTATTAATTCCTCCCGCAATACTGCATTAATGGCAGTAAAACTACATTCTCTGCGTATCCCCACCTCAAGTTGATTTTCCAATATCATTAATTTCTTACGCGTCTTGGCCACATGGGCCTGATGTTGGGTCTCCGGCACGGTTTTACGATTCAATTCATAGATTTGTTTATTCACTCGACTTATCTCCCGTTCCAAATTTGCAACATCCACCTTAAGTTTGCGATTTTCGTTCGACAGCCGTTCCTGACATTCAATATGACATTTGATATTGTACAGACAACGCTTATTTTCGCGTACGTGTGTCAGACCATTGGCCACCCAAATTTGTGCTCTCAAATCATCCTTTTCGAGCTTCAACTGATCGATGGCATTCTGATAGCTAGCCTCGATAATGGTCTCCTTGCGACTCTTTAATTTTGTCGACAGAATCTTTTTATATTCTCGCTGACGTTTACCCAACTCCTTTTGCTTGGCCAAATATGCTTCGAGGAAATTTTTCTTAGTCAAATTGTCCATGGCGAAGGGCTTTCAGTTAAGAATATAATTAAAATAAAATTTAATAACAATTATATTATTTTTAGCAGCCAACTGGGCTCTCAAAATATAAATTCTGAGGAATTTTGTGTGCAGAAAAAATTAAGTAAGGTCGAACTTTAAATATCCTTCAACATTAGAAAAAGGAACCATTTTTGTATAGAGTATCTGGATTCATACGTATTCCATTTTTAAATTAAAAATACCAGTAAGATTGTTTGAAGAATGCGGTAAAGATGGTATGGGGGCGATTCCATCCAAAACCAATTTTATTCTACAAAGATTTTAATCTATTGCGAATCTCTAGTTTGTCTAAGACTATGTCCGCTATTGTCGGTGATAGTGGATTTCCCATTATCATTCCAAATACTTGGTTATATATTTTATCGTCGAACATGAAATAGTTTTTGTATTGGAGGCAGAATTGTAAAATTTGAAGAAAACGTGATTTTGGTATTTCTGTATATTTTCTTATTTCATCCCATTTTCCCATTATGATTTTTATTGCGGTGTGGACTATTTTGGATTAGGAATATTTGTGAAAAGTGACACTACATCAAATGAAACTAGAATGTCTGTGTTGTCAAGTTGGATGTTTTTTATGTTTTGTTTTAAAGAAGTAGAGTTTTTTATATTATAGTTCTTCGAGATTTGGTTTTTTAAAATCTGTCCAAGGTACTTTGAAAGTTCATAGTATGGTACATTCATTGACGAAACAATTGGTCTTAGTGGGATGTTGGGTTTGTGGATTTTCGGCAACCCATATATTCGAGGCGCGTTAGCTGCAGTGCAAGATAATATCTTTTTTTTTCCAACAAAGTTATATTCTTGTTCTTGTATAGTTCTGAGACCAAATTGTTATTCGCTTTTTGTAATTTTTGGGTTGGATCTGTTCGTAATATTTTATATGTGTGTTTGTCCTGTAGAAAAGTTTCCATTTTAGAAATGTAGTCCTTTTTATTCATTGCTACGGTTTTATTTCAAGCAGATAATGCTTGCAAAATAATAACGTCTTTGTGTCTTTGTCTTCTTTCAGTGTATTTACTTTTTTCCTGTGTGTTTCTGTCAGTTTTTTCCTTATTGCATTCGTTCTACTTTTTTGTTTCTGTATGAATGTCTTATAGTCAGTTGGTTCTAATATGGAATGTAGATTGAAATTAAACGTGAAACGTCGGGAATAAAATACAAAATAAAATAATTTTGTTTTAATTTGTATATGAAACCTAAGGTCAAAAAGCCATGGTACAATGATATCAAGGTAGGGCTATGATACCATATGATTTACATTTTTTATTTTCTTGGCTTAATATGTCATCTTTATTTGTTTATGTATGTGTTTTCTTTTCAATAACAAAAAAAAATTGTTCAGAAAACATTCAAATTCGGATGTTTTCAAAATGTTTATTTCATCGTATGCATCGACAAAATCTAGAGTTTTTGTAGCGAAATAATCCTTTAGAGATATATAGAACCTGGTTTTAAAAAGAAGTGTTGACCTTTCATTCAGTTTTCGCGGTTTTTAATTATTTATTCAAAATACATGCAACAAGTTGTTTGATTTTTTATTGTTTTGATACTAATTCTGACATTACAAGCCAAACAGGTAGATCTCTATACTTGTAATTTTTTCAAAGTTGACCAACCTTGTATTCATTGTACCATGCAAAAAGCTAAAACACTCAAACAATGTGAATATCTTTTGTCAATTTTTTAAATTTTTGTCATATTTTTTATTGCATGCGATGTTTTCAATTCGACTTACAATTTTGAATTGTAAATTTTCTAAATTTTTACATTTCTCAAAACTACGGTTTGAGGGTATTATATGCATTTCGCAATTATCGTCCGATCCTCACGAAATTTGGCATAGGGGTAGGGTTAGGGTCAGAATTAAAGCCTATTGTTCTTAATATGTACATTTAGAGGTGCAAATGGACTAAAACAATTTAATTTTTTCTAATTTTGTAGTCGCTCTATAAACCACAATTGAAACTAATCGACATGGAATTTCGCATCGGAAGAGAGTTAAGGACAGGGAAGAAGTCTTGCATTTTGGATGACAGTAAAATGGACCACAACTTTCGTGTGAAATTGTTTTGATTACTTAAAAACACTCGGTAAATATTGGCCAAATTCTCCGGGTAAAAAAATTAAGGGTAACCTCTGGGCGGGGCTCGTTGACATTATTTAAAAAACGAAATATTCCAAAATGGATTTTGATAGAAGGGGGTTTCGAACATATTGTAGCAAAGACCTAAAATGGTAAAGACTAGACAAAATGCATTTTGAGCAAATGGTTTGTGTCTACAATACATAGAGTAACAGCTCATGGCAGAGACATGTTAATATAAAAACCACTATTACAGAAACGGATATCAAATAAAAATTTGAAAAATCCAAAATTTTGGTTTCAAAATTCTATTCCATGGACCTTTCCGAAAATTTGCACATTGCTTTGGCGGTTTAAATCAGTTAACATTTGTAATTATGTTGTTATGATATCGTAACAACAGAGGTATTTTCACAGGGTTACCATATCTTGACTCTGTCTTGTCCTATCTTTACACTTCTATGTCTTTGATTGTAGTGTTGTAGGGTATCACATGGTCGGCACCGCACGATTATAGCCTTTGCGAAACCATCAGTTAACTAATTTTTTTCTATAGAAAAAAACCGAAACCATCAGTTCACTGATTTTTTTCTGTAGAAAAGAAAAATCGAAACCATCAGTTCACTGATTTTTTTCTGTAGAAAAAAATCGAAACCATCAGTTCACTGATTTTTTTCTGTAGAGAAAAAATCGAAACCATCAGTTCACTAATTTTTTTCTATAGAAAAAAAATTGAAACCATCAGTTCACTGACTTTTTTTCTATAGAAAAAAATCGAAACCATCAGTTCACTGACTTTTTTTCTATAGAAAGAAAATCGAAACCATCAGTTAACTAACTTTTTTTCTATAGAAAACAAAATATAGAGAAAAACCCAATCCTCAGTGAACTGAGGTTTTTTTCTACAGAAAAAAATCAGTGAACTGAGGTTTGGGTTTTTTTTTCTATACAAAAACGAGTCCTCTGTTCACTGTTTTTTTTTCCTGTTGAAAAAAAAACGAAACCTCAGTTCTCTGATTTTTTCTGTAGAAACACAACGAAACCTCAGTTCACTGATTTTTCTCAATAGAAAAAATCGAAACCTCAGTTCATTGATTTTTTCCCAATAGAAAAAAATTGAAACCACAGTTCACTGATTTTTTCTATGGAAAAAAATGGAAACCTCAGTCGACTGATTTTTATACCCTGCAACACTATGTGTTGGGGGTATTATAAGTATGATTGGGCCAAAATTATGAAACACCTCGAAATATTGGTTTCCCACATAGGATAGTATATATGGATCTTCCTAGCTCGCCGAGCTGAGTCGATCTAGCAATGTTTGTCCGTCCGTCCGTCTGTCCATGTTAATTTGTAATCAAGCTACAGGTCGCAATTATGAACCGATCCTCACGAAATTGAAAATGGAGGTGGGGTTATGGTCAGAATAGAACCCTATTGTTTTTGGAGATGATTGCAAAATATTTAGGGGTTGAAATGGACCAAAAACAGGAAATTTTCCTGATTTTGCCGTTGCTCTGTAGGCCACAATTATGAACCAAACGACGCGGAAATTTACATGGAGTTAGAGTTTAGGACTGGGCAGAAGCCAATCAATTTGGATTTTTTTCTATATAAAATATAGCAATTGAATGATTTGTTTTTTTTTCAAGAAAAACTGAGGCATGTGTTTTGAAGGAATATTTTTTGTAAAGGAAACCAATCAGATATCAGTTTCTGAGGATTTTCTCTAGAAAAAAGGCAAACCTCTACTTTTAAACATTTATTTTTTACAAATACAAATAGAACCTCAAATTTTAATATGGGATTTAAATGGAATGGGATTTAAAATTTATTGTTGGGTTATTCCAGAGGTTTCCAAGGCCCGGAATATCTTTTGTATCGAAAAAATGTAGGCAGCTGTACGCAAATCGTTACACAAGGCATACTCGTTGGCTACCTCCTTGATACCCTGTCCCGCCATTTCCATTACAGTCTGTAAACCATAGTCCACAATATCAGCTTCCGATGTACAGTTGCGAATTTTTTCCAAATTTGCGTTAGGACAAATATGAGGCTAAATATTACAAAAAAAATAATTAATATGAATTCCCATAATATTTAACCCTCATATGACCTACCGCGTCTCCCCCCAAGGATTCATTAATCGAGTTGAAAATCTCACGAACAACGTGATTGTCACGTTTCGAGGACATTTTACCATAGGAAACATGATTGATATTTTTCAAAAATTCAAAATAGGATACCGTCGCCCCACCGGCATTGCAATACATATCGGGTATCATGAGAATACCCTTTTTGCGTAGAATTTCATCAGCAGCTGGGGTCACGGGACCATTGGCACCCTCGAGTATTATTTTTGCCTGAACCTTGGCGGCGTTGTCCGCATTGAGCACTTTTTGAGTGGCACAAGGCATTAAAATGTCACATTTCTCGCTTAAGAGTGAACCCTGCTTTTCGGTGGCCTTGGAAAAACCTTTGAGGGTCTTCTTCTCGGACATATGGGATATGAGGTCCTGTTGAAAAGTAACTTTTTTATTATTTACTTTTACCTTTCATTATACATACATCAGGATTAATTCCCTCTGGATTCATCAATGATACATTTTTTTCCTCCACCCCAATTAATTTGGCACCAGCCTCCACCACAAACTTGGCAGCGTATGAACCGACATTACCAAAGCCTTGGACAATAACTGTTTTACCTTTCCAACCCGGCTTCAGTTTCAGAAAATCCATCCAATCTTTGTCCTGAAGGAAAACGTCACCAGCCTTCCAGACTCCACGTCCAGTGGCCGAAGTGCGACCATTTATGCCACCCATGTGAACTGGTTTTCCAGTGACAATAGCCAATGCATTGATGTCCTTGTGACCTTAGAACATTAAATCGAAAATTAGAATAAAAAATATTCCTTATTGTCAATCCCATACCAAATGTCTTTAAATACTGATCACAAATCCAATTCATTTCCCTCTCGCCCGTATTTACATCGGGTGCTGGAACATCGATGCCAGGACCAATCATGTTTCGTCTTAACAATTCCATGGTATAACGTCGGGTAATTATTTGCAGTTCTTTGTCGGTATATTTTCTAGGATCTATGCGTATGCCCCCCTTGGCCCCTCCAAAGGGTAAATTAACGCAGGCGCACTTAAAGGACATTAAATAGGCCAAACCTTTGACCTCATCCTCTTCCACATCCAAGCCAAAGCGTATACCTTAAAAGGGGATATATACACTTATTTTCCCACAAATATGTATCTTCTCCACCCCCCAACTTACCTCCCTTTACCGGCAAACGTTGTTTCATATGATGTGCCCTATAACCGGTTATTATTTCAATTTCAGAATTATTTTTCAACAACGGGAAATTAACCTCAATACATGTCGTAACACGCCCCATAAATCTTAATATACCACTAACTCGTGCCTCAACACTTTTCGACTCCAATTTGGGATATTTCTTGATCAGTTCCTGGATAAGTGTGGGTTCCATTAGCTTAGCAGCAGCGTGATAATAATATTCAACCATATGAGCAAAATTTGGATTTTTATCGGTTGGTATCTTTTCTAAATGTTTTGGTATTTCATGTTTGCCACGTTGAGAAAGGGGGTTCCATGAAAATGGATTCTTCGGGGTTACTCGTTGAGGGAGAGAACGAATCATTTTGATTCCTTGCCAATTGAAAGGAGAAATTTTAACGTTCCGATAATTTGACTTTTCCTCTTTCTTATTTTGAAGAAATCAATATTAGGGTGACACGAAGTGTAAATTAGAAATTTGGATACGTAATTAAAAAGTTTAAGTCGGATTTTTCATTGCCAAAAGCCGATCAATGAAATAATCGAAAGACGACTTGCGTATTCCTAATTATGAAATTTCCCAATATATAAGCTTATTTCCAGAACTTCTGTTGATCTGCAGGTTATGCAATATACAGGGTGAGATAAAAAACTGCAACAAAGGCAAACGCCATAATTTTGATTTTAATTTTATTGAATGAAAGCAAAAAATGTCGGAAATAGCATCACATTTTAGAATAAGTTTAGATTTGTTCGAGTTGGTCACCTTTGGCATGAATTATGGCCTTCAAACGGCCAATGAAACGGTCACACGCTGCCCGAATGTCGCTCTGCGGTATTTTGACCCATTCCCGTCGAAGCGCTTGCTTAAGGTATTTAGAATTTGGTATTTTTTTGTGCCAACCTTGCTTTCCAAAATACTCCAGACACAATAGTCCAACGGATTGTTATCCGCAAATTTTTGTGGCCATTGTGCGCTGGAAATGTAGCGAGGAACCTCATTTTGTAACCATTCCTGGGTGGTGCGTGCTGAGTGCGATGGTGCTGCGTCCTGTTGGAATGTCCAAGGTTTGCGGCCAAAATATTTTCGCGATAATATTCAGCATTTATTTTGATACCACGGTCGATTAATACGAGCGGAGAGCGACCATCGGCTGTTATGGCCCACACCATCACCAAGGCTTGAGTTCTGGTGGCCAACCGAAGGTGCACATTTTTCAGCTGACCTCTTTGGCAAGTAAACACGATCATTTTGTTAGTTTACAAACTGCTGGAGAACGAATGTTTTCTCATCGGAGAAAACCATCATCACTTTGGCCAAGCGAAGCAACTCTTTAGCTCTTTTGGGTCTATTTTCTTTCTGTTGCATTATTTGCCGAATGGAATATTGCGATATGTTCAGCTTACGAGCCATTTTTCGGCCACTGCGTTCGAACCATTTCTGCTGATGTTGCTGTTTTCTTCTGTTCACTTACTTGACGTTGGGCTACACTACCAGTATCACGGTAACGAGCGATGGTACGAGACACAAAAGAGTTATTCACATTTAAATGATGGAGTGCTCTAACGATAGCCACTTGTGGTTTTCCAGCCAAATGTAAAGAAATCACACTATCACGCTTGAATTCCATCACGAATAACTTTTTTTCTGGAAAATTCTCTGCTTTTGTATGCTTGTAAACAATATAATGAGCTGTCGCTGGAATAATTTTAACAGCTGTCGGACTAGTGGCTTAGAAATGACAGCAGTCTGAAGTTGGTTGCAGTTTTTGCATGTCACTCTGGACATTTGAGTAAAATTTTATCAACCTACTTCATTTCGTTCGGAAGGTAGAGTGATTTCCGCAGAACGGTCACCGCTAAATCGAAATAGAATTTTATGCTGATCAAGAATATATGTTCTTTGTGGGGTTTGAAATGTACATATTGAGGTGTTACACACGGTGCAGGTTATAAAAAATTTTAAATAAAAATTCGAAGTCATTATTATTTTTAAATTGTATTTTATTTTTAACAAATATGTTTTTTTTTATTTATTTAATTTATGCAAATGTTTTTGAGCATTTTTTACGTTTGTTGGTTTTGTTTTTCTGACTTATAATTACAAAAAAAAAAAAAAAAAAAAAATAATTAAAATTTGATTTTAAATATAATTTATTATATAAGTATATGTAGAGTTCTTGTTTTTATATTAATAATTGTAATTTTTTTACACCTACTTAAAATTAAAGTTTTAAGATTTTTATTTTGTGTATCATCTAAAAAAACTACTTTAAACAATTATGATAATCTTTTCATGGTTTTATTTAATTTTTTTTCTTTCCACGCTGGTTTCTTTTACAAAGTTGGGGATTTTTTATGTTTTCATTTAAAATTGTAATAAATTTTATGTTTTGTTAAAACTCTCGAGTCTCACGGAAGCACTCATGCACTGAGAAATGATTTGTGTATATATTTTAAGGGTTGAATTAAAAATAATAATAATTAAAGACAAAGAAAACTTGAAGTCTAAGACACTTAAAGAATGGGGAAAGGGAAGTTGTTTTAAGATTAAAAATATTTTTTAAAGAAAATTATATACAAAATATATATTTTTAATTTTGTTTAATATCACTTAACTTTGGATACTCAATTACTTGTGTAAGCGGTCTGTTTGTTTTGTAAATTATGTTTTTTTGTTGTATGGCATATTAAATTTTATTCAGGCAATTTTTTAATTTTTTTTTTGTAAATTGCACAATTAAATTAATTTATTGAGCCTTGTTTTTTTGTTATCAAATTTGGGTTTTGTATACATTTTATAAAAACTTAATAAATTAACGAGAACATTGCTGGTTAAAAAATAACTAAAATTACATTTTTCAAACCTATCTTCGGGGAATTTAATTAATTTCAAATTAATTTTTTTTCGTCTTAGCACTTTAAGAAAATATTTTGTTTTTAATTTCCTACGAATCCACTATTTATTGGTTTTCTTGTATTTTTAAATAAAATAAAAAATATATATATTTTTTTTTGTGTAAAAAAACAATTTTCCTTAAAATACATCACGTTTTCAATGATATTTCTTATTAATAATAAAAAAACTATTTAATATATATTAAAAAAAAACATTTTTGTTTTGTTTTTAAAAACAATTACAAAAAAACGGTTTTTTTTTTTGCGAGAAATTAAACAAAATTGTTGCTTTTTTATTGTGCGTCTATGATGGGGGTAGAATAATAACTTGTGCATTTAAAAATTTACATTGAATTCTTAATTACAAACAATTTGTGTTGTTGTAGTTTTTAAGCACATTTGGAAGAATCCACCATTTTGTTTTTGTATCATTTGTTTTGTAAGGGACCAAAACCCCTTTTATCTCTCTTTCTGCGTAAACACAAGAACGGCTGAGATTTATTGGTAATCTAATCATCATCCTTCTTTTCGGTTTTGAGGTCATATTTAGCACACAATTCTTCAGGTGAGCAACTAGAAAAGGAAAGAGAAAAATAATAGAAAATTAGTAAAGACATTCTACATATTATTTTTTCAAAATATTTGTAAAAATAAAATAATCTGTAGTATTTTAAAATGCTGGTTAGCAACTAGTCCATTGTGAATGTTTCGATAGTTGTGACAAAAACCCCGTTGCATCTACAATGAATTAAATCGTAGCATACTTTTAGGCTTGAACAAAAACGACCATTCACATGGTGCCACAAAACGCAACATTTTCATTACGATTACAAATTAAGAAATTTCAATTTTAGTGAATTATTACACCCACAAAACACGGTATTTTACGCGGAAAACTGAGTTGTTTGGGAAAGATTTTTATAACTTGGGTAAGAGAAAAGTGTAGAATAAACGTCCCTGGAAATCAATTACCAAATTACAAAAAAAATTGCGCATACAAATTTGCTATTGTAAAGAAAATAATTTAAACAAAATTAAAGCTTACCCAATTAAACCTTGTAGATCACATACAAAACGATAAACATAACGTTTACCAGCTGTCTTATGAATGATATTTTTATCATAATAATAACGTAGGCCTCGGCTTAGCTTTTCATAATTCATTTTTGGTTTGTTTTTGCGTATACCCCAGCGGCGGGCAACCTATAATACAACAAAAAGAAGAAAAATAAACCATTAGTATCCTTAAACATCATTCTTCCAGATTTGCTTTCAAACTTACCTCATCTGGATCGGTCAGCTTGAATTCCCAACCATCACCCGTCCAAGATATAAATCCCTGACACGTTTTGTCCATTAACAATTCCAATAAAAATTGCCACAACTGAATGGGTCCAGAGCCCTGGAAACATGGCACTCCACCCTGAGTTGAATAACCACCCAGCAAGGCCTTATCCAAACACATCGATGACAAATATGCAGCTGGATGTTGAGCACCATGATGACTGGCCCACTGATCTGCTTGGGCGGCCATACTGGGGAATTGTGGTGTATCATAGGGTGAAAATTCCGGCGAATAGGCATCATGAAATCTTGAGCGACCATAGGCATTGTATTTTTGCTCCACATTGAGGCTATAGAAATCGGCTGGATTACTGTCCAAATAATTGCTGGCCGCCTGGGCTTGATGATCTTGTGAAGACATAGTACTGTGATAATCACTGTCATCGTAACCAGCAGCGGCTGCGGCAGCCACAGCATTGGCATTGGCTAAATGGGCTGGCGTTAGGCCAAATTGGGCTGTGAGATCTGTGGGATCATTGGGATTGGCGGAATTCGAGCCAGCGAGATTACCATAGGCGCTTTGGGTACCGGGCTCCTCTTTCATTTGATGTTGTGTGTAAAAAGCTGCAGCGGCAGCAGCTGAATTACGCATCGACATTTGCATGTAATTGAGATTTGCACCATTGTTGTTGTTATTGTTGTTGTTGCTATTAACACTATTGGGCGAAAGGCTGCTGGGTTGTGAAACTGAAACAGCCGATGTGGCATTTTGTTGGTTTGCATGAGCGGGTGGCAGCATTGAGTTTTGATTGTTAGCAGCATTTTGTTGTTGCTGCTGCTGTGGTGGCGGGCTGTTGTTGCGATCGTGTGTTGATGATCCGTAACCTAAAATGAAGGGAAATTTTAGGATATTGGATTAGAAATTTGTTATAATTTCAATTAGTTTATATCTAATAAAATAAAATAATATTAATATAAAAATTAAAATGTATTTTTGATGACCTATTATGGTTAGTGGTGATTTAATTTTACCTAGAAAATTAATTGTTAAACTTAATTTCAATCATTCCGCAAGAATATACTGCACTTTGTATTTTTAGGTATTTTAATTTTTTTCCAATGATTTTAAAATATGTTTTTATTTTTTTCTGCATTATTAGAAATATACAAGGACATACACAATTGCTCTGTTCAAGAACTGTCAGAATGTAATTTTTTTTACTACGATAAAAGATTTTTCCTCTGTAATATCGAAAAAGATTGTAAAACTAGTAGATTCTTGCAGGTACTGGAGCTGAGCAAATATTGAGAACATTTCCTGAACCTTGTCTAATTTTGAACATAATTTTTCAATACAAAACAAAATATTTTTTTTTCATTAATTGTTTATAATGTTTGCAGTAGAATATAATTCTTTAAAAATCAGTTTTTTATTTATACCAAACCATTTTATACATCATAATAATAATATAATTTATAATACTTCAATATAGAAACATATTTAACTTATAAAAATATATATTTATAGATATATTTATGTTTCTTTTTTATTAATTTGTATTATGTTTGTTTCTATATGATTTACTATTCATTATAATTTTGTATTATTATTTTTTCATTGAAATTTTATATTTTTCATTCTGAAACTTATAATGTCTGTTAATTTTTTATTTTTTATCCAATTTCAATGATTTCAAAATATTTCAAATGAAGCGAATTATTTAAAAATATCGGATCTCAAGATACTCATTTTATTTTATTTTGAAGTAATTTTTTTAATTAACATTTTCTATTTTAAAGTTTTTATTTGTTTTAAACTTTTTTTTTATTTTTTCCATATTTTTTTTTAATTTAAAATTTTTAATTTTTCGATTGTATTTTGATAAATTACCATTTTTTAATATTTTTTTCTTTACATTAAACCAACTTGAAATAATGAATATTTTTAATGTGCCGTAATTTGTTGCCGCAAAAATTGGCAATATGTTATTTTGCCAAATACTTCTTGCCTTAATTCATTTTCTCGCACAGTAATCTTAAGATTTTCCCACCCATTTTTCACACATCTTTTGAAACAACAACAATCAAACGGAGGCGGGTCAATAACATACCAGATTTCAAACACATCAAAGCCAAATAACCCCTTTAATAAGTGAAACGTTTACATGGTTGTGTTGGTTGAATAGAGCTTCGCATCCTCATCATCATTATTATCATCATAATCTTCATCATGCGCATAAAGCGTTGATGATTTGATGGCATTCGAAAACCAATCAAAATCCAATGAATTACCAACACCAGCAAACTAACCCCACCATAAGATATACTCATGCTCATACACAAGAGTATTGTTGGATTTTTGTTTTTGTTTTCATTTACAAATCATTATTGTAAGAGCCATAGATAATGGAGAGTAGCAGAATTACTCAACTCCAAATGAGAGTGAGAGAGAACCATAATAAAATTGCTCACCATAACACCAAATGGGGAAGAGATAAATGTTGGGGGAGCCTTTCAGGTATTAGATGGGGCACCAATACCAACATTTGTCTACTGAGCATGAGTATGAGAGAGAAAGAGAGATGTGTGTGAAATCATGAGTTGTGGGGTGGGGGAAAGCAACAACAAACCTGTTGCTTTTGCAAATTTGAAACTTTTTTCGGCAAAGTTTCTTTGTCTTTTTTCCAAGAAGAAAAAAAAACTTGCTCAAGTCTTATGATTTTAAACTGCGCAGAACTATTTTTGGGAGATTTTTTTCGTTGTTTCGTGGCGATTTCTCCGGTATTACTCCTCCCATTTCATTTTCTTAGAGATACCTACAATGGATGCTCTTGAGATTTAGCGGCACCGAACGATGCCATACAATGTTTGATTGGTATTTGTCGGATTTGGTAGATATTTACCACCCAATCATTTACCTCCCTGTCGGCTTTTTCACCCCTAAAAATCCATTAGGATATAATATATTTTGTAATGAAAAATGTATTGCTAATTCATTTTGTTTGGCAACTTGTTGAGTGCAATGCATTTATTACAGGGGTTGGGGTCGGGTTCGCTTGGTGAGTGTGGTGCTGTTGGTGGGATTATGTGGCCTGCAGTTATTTACCCAGGGTGTGCGTGCACACTTTTGTGTGTTAAATGTCAATAGAAAATTTTTTTAATTTTCAAGAGAACTGAATGGTGAAAAAGACTTTGAGTAAACAAAGATAGGTAGATTAATAATGTGATTTAAGGACTATTAAGGTTAGATTTGGGAGAAAGGCATTCTTAGTGAAATAAACTTTTAATAATTTTGTTGCGTTTTTAGGATTGGTCAAGAAAGTGTGAAATTTTTAATTTAAAAATTTTCATTTAAAATGAAAATTGTCCCTTATGTAGCCTACATAGGCTGTCTTTTGCATGGGCCGTAGAAAATACAACTATTCGCTTTCAAAGTAAAAAAATTCTTCGAATTCTTCAAGCATAATAAAAATAATAAATATAATGGAGTGAAATTTTTGTTTTAATTTTTTGTTTTGAATTTTATCTAATTTTTTTTTTAATTTGTAATGGCCAATTCTAGGCGCATTGAATATCCTTGCTCATATTTTCGGTCGAAGTGGCTGCAGTTGGATATTTTGAGATTTTAATGTGGAGAACATACCTCCGCAGAAATTACCCAAGATTAAGGTTCAGAAATGTCTTCCAAATAATAATATGCCCAATTATTGGGGTTTGAAGGCCCAACGTATTGTATTTACAATTTGGCATTTTGAATTAGGATATTGATTTCAAAATTTCATAAAGTTTGTTTTTCAAAAATACAAAATGTTTTATAAAAAAAACAAACATTTTTCTTCCTAAAATTGTAGGATTATAAAATAGACAAAATTTAAATTTTATGATGCAAGTTTGCGACACCAGCCATTTCCAGAACAGTTAAAAACCCCTAATCTCAAAACAAGTCCTCACTGCAAATCTAAGCAAATTTACACAATGTTCTTATTGAAATCAGTATGCCTTTCATTTCATTTCATTTTTTTTTATTATTTTAACGGTGGTGATGATGAAGTGATAATTATTTATGACTAACTGCTTGGTTTGTTGGTGTGAAGTTCAGACAATGTACCTTGTATTTAAATTTAATATCGTGTGAATGTAATTAAAAATAAGTTCTGCTCTATGAGAAACAAGTCGAGCAAACTAAAAGAGCACAAAGACCCACCTCCCACCACAACAACATCTTGTATTTGTTCTTTTCCCAGCTAAGCCAAGTGGCGTTTCATTTTGGCCAAAATGTGTGACTTGTAGTTGGTTAATTATGTACCACCAGGCAGGTGGTTTTCTTCTCGATTTAAAAGTGGGTTGATGCTGAGGTGGGAAGAGGAGGAGTTGTGTTAATTTTCTGCTGTTGCTCAAATATCTGCTTTGAGTTTTGTGTACAATTTACCATGTAAATATTGCTACTCAAAAAAGATCATTTTTAATTACAATTTATAAAAAACTGGGATTGACGTTTTTGTAGATATCATAGATATGTTTTAATTGGAATTCTTTGAAATGAGATTCTAAAGGAAAACAAGGAAATATTGAACATCCTGCCAAAATAAATCCTTTTTTTCCTTAGAATATCCTTTAGAAGAACTTTAATTAAATATTTTCTAGAAATAATAAATATTTTAAGAAGAGCTCTTTTTTTGGAAAACTTGGTAACACAAAGCTAACTTTTACATTGTTGCTTTGCAAAATCAAATATATCAAACATATTATGTGTATTTTTTGGAACACACAAAATTTTCCCCTTACGAAAACTATTTAGCTTCAAAATGTTTCAAACATGTCCAATATTTTAATACTATTTTTAGATTTCCCAATATATTTGTGGTTAATCTCAATATTTATAATAACAGCAATGTGTTGGGTGGCGACGGACAAAACAACATATTCAAAATATGTCCTTTTGTTGTAATAAAGAAAACAAAACAAAAATAACGTGAAAAATATTTAAACAAATCATTGACAACATGTTGCATTATCCCAATCATTCAAAAGGGAACATAGTTTTAAACCCTTGTCAGAGCAAAAAAATAACGTAAACATAAGACCGACAATAATGTAAACAAATGTTCAACCACATAAACGTAATGTACGGTTATGCACAGAAACACCCCTGCATTCCGAAAAAAAGAAAAAAACCGGGACAAAAGTCATGACCATACCACCATCAGACATATGGTGTCATTTGGGAAACATAACAAGAGAATGAGACAAGTGCAGGAATTTTCGTTTAATTTTCATTCTTTTTTTTTAACAAATTACAAAATAACCTTTGACCGTAAACATTCAAATTAACCCTAATACAGCGGTATACAGTGGAGACTCAGTGTATGGTGCTCTGAGATGGGAGTCGGACAGTTTTTTTAATAAAGGACGACCTTTATAGGCATTTTCTTTTTTTATTAAGTATTTATAATTTATAAACATTAAAATTGACCATGAAGCTAGTGGAAACAGTGGGGACTCGGTTTATACTTTGGATTGAACGTTAGAAATTTTCTAATAATATGCGTTCGTTATAAAAATTAACTTTTTTGCATTTTTATAGAAATTTCAAAAATAAAATCTTGATCTTGATTTCCCTCAAAGGACATTTTTTAATGTTTAATGAAATGCCTGTGGATTTTTGGCAATATACTTAAAAGCTTTCCCAAATATCAAAAAGTTTGTTTTATATCTAAAAAAATTTGTTCTTTTTTGGGTGAATTTTAATTTTCTCTGGAATGTGTTATTTTTTGTTATAAAATAAAAAAATCTTTTTTTTGTTTTAAAAAATAAAAGTTTTTTTTTTCATATTGAGAAACCAATATTTTTGATGAACATTCCTTTTTTTAATTTTTATGAAAATT